TCTCACCAGGCACCGGGTGCTTCTTGGCCCTCCGGGTAAACGGCCACAGCGTTTTGGAATCCTGAATTTCAGTAAGAATCTTAGGAGGAACAGGTTAATACGTGAAGGTTCTTGCCTCCCTTGCCCCACAGGTAAAGTGCCAGGGGAAGTAGGGAGGGGAGGGAGAGAGGGACTGCACTGAAAAGTCAAAACCACTGACAGAATTTAACCACACTGTGCAGAACGCTCTATTAGAACAGGACGTGTTGAACTGAAATCTTTGTTTCTCCTCTATCAGATTAAATTCTAGGGGTGGGAACTGGATTGCTTTTCTCTGAGATGCCTGGTACCCCCAGCGTAAGGACACAGAAATTTTAACCAGACTGAACATGTCCCAAGGCTGGGGTCGAAGGGCGGGGCAAGGTACTGGGCTATGAATTATCCTCAGGAAAGGTATTTAGTCACTGAGGAGTAAGAAGACAAATCTGGAATTCACATCACAAGAGCTAGAACTGAGGCTTAAGGCCGTGACTTCAGGGGATGAGGTAGGTCTGCCGTTCTTAGTGTCAAAATTTTAAAACGCTGATTTAAGAGTTTTAAGATTCCAAACCCTTAATAAAGGGAATCTCCCTAAAACCAATAATCTACATATTTCTTCTTCCTGATGAGTCTTACAGTTACCTGTAGGAATGACATCCTAAGAAAGCGCTGGAGGCTGGCTTCTCAGGACTGCTGAACCTTAAATGAGATCGTTACAGCTGCTTCTTGCTGTTTTATTTGTGTGTGTGCTTCTAATTTGGTCATTCGATTAATACGTGCTATTCATCCTGTTCCCAAGTTTCTAGATTTGTATCATTTTCCCGAGTCGAACAGATACTCTGTGCTGTACAATGTGAATGATAAACGTCCGGGGCTTGTTAAAGGCTGATGCCCTTCACCTGTGGAATGCTAGGAACCATGAAATCTTAAGCGTATATTCACTCTACCAAACTCCAGATTGTTCAGTCTGTATAGCTGTTGTTTTGTTTTTTTTTTTAAACTGGCCCTGGTTTCTATTGCGTACAGACCATCGTGCTGATGAGTGACCTGGCGACCACCCTGGACGCACAGGGCCGCTTCGACGAGGCCTGCATTTACGTACAGAGGGCATCCGACCTGGCCCGGCAGATCGAGCACCCCGAGCTGCACATGCTGCTCAGTAACCTCGCCGCCATCCTGATGCACCGAGGTAGGGCGCCCCGGAAGCCGGACTGCCCCGGCTTGAGGGAAGGGGGTCCCTGCAGGTAGGGATCTGTGAGGTTTTGGGGAGGGCAAGGGGCAGGCAGGAAGCTCCGGAACGAAGAGGCTGGCTGAAGGTCCCCAGCAAGGACGTGTGTTTGGTTGAAGCATCACTGTGTTCGGTGGCCGGGACTTGCCTGGTGAGCCCAGGCTGAGGGAGGCAGGCCCAGTGTCCAGAGGGCCGGCTGGCGGGAGGGCCAGCTGGCGGGACCAGGAGGAGAAGTGGCCGTGCGGGGCCCCCCCTCCCAACCCCCCCCGCCGTGGCTCTTGGAGCACACAGCGGGTTAGCTGCGTGCGGGCACGAGTGCTCACCCTGCGGAGTCTGGCAGAATCACTTGGAAAACCTGCATTTCTCTTTATTCTCCCTTCTCTCTGGGTTATTTTAGAGCGATATGCACAAGCAAAAGAGATCTACCAGGAAGCGCTGAAGCAAGCAGAGCTGAAAAGAGATGAGGTTTCTATACAGCACATCAGGGAAGAGTTGGCCGAGCTGTCAAGAAAAAGTAGACCTTTAACTTAATTTGATGAAGCGCTAAATCCCTTTTTGTTGTAGGGCGTTTTCAGCAGCAGCGATTAGTCCGGTGTCAGTGACGCCCAAATCAATGGCTTAGATCCTTTCTCCTTGATACTCAAGTTTTGTCAACGTAGCTATGGTGAAGGACAAGTTGTATACACTGCCACTTTGTGTTTTTAAAGGAAAAACAGCTTTCACCCCTGGCCGATTTTGACTCTTAAGGACAGATGTCAAGTGATGCTTTCAGTCGTAACCTACTGGTGAGGTGCCGTCCGTGCTGGTGTAGGTGGAAGTGTGGATGGAGACGGGCCAGGTTTCCCTTGGGTGGGTGCATGGTGAGTCAGCCAGGCATCTCTAGCCTAAGATTTTGATCCATTGATTCGCTACCCTCTTTTTTCATTTTATCGCTATCTGGCAGATCAGAGCTACATGTCTCATGGCAAAGGGGGATTATGGTGAGTTATTTTTCTTCTCTCTTTCATGAAGCCCAGTATGGGATGTAATGCGTAGTGGAGCAAAAGTATTGTCTTGGTTTGCACCAGCGTCCAGCATGAAGTTTTAAAGTAGGAATTAGGCCCTTGAGAAATATACCTATTTAATTATAAGTAAAAGTGAACTGTATGTTTTTATATCTGGTTACATACGACTATGAAAAAGGGGAAAAAGGAATGCTACGAAGTCTTGTCGATGCTGTTGGAGCACTCCACTTCCTTTGCAGCCTTGGTCCCTGACCACAGTCATCTGCACCTGCCCAGGCTGCACCCCCAAACCTTCGGTGTCAGGGTAGGGCCTTACAAGTACAATATGTGAAGTCTCCCCAGTGATTCTGACATGTACTTGCTGGTACAGCAGAAGGATCACTGATCTGGATCCTAGTCCTGGCTTTTTGTGTTTGGGTCTCAGTATCCTCATCTGTAAAGTAGGGGACCGATAAGATTCTCCTTTCGCTGTGGGAGAATGTATGTGGTCAGGTGACCTTAAACGACTAGACTACTGTGTTGAGAGCGCCTTACCACACTGCCTCAGAGTGCATAAAGTATAAACGTACGAGCTAGGTAGAAGGATGTTTTTACCTCCGAAGTCTTGCAAAGAGCCATTTGCCTGGGGGAAAGGCAATTTTTGTAGGTGCCATGAAGGAACACTACTGTTGGTAAGCCTTTGGGGGTGGGGGTGTGAGTGGGAATGATAAACAGATATTTTTGTTTCCTGTGTACATACTGGAAGAATCCTTTCATAATAAACTAGAGACTCTACAACAACACTGTATGTATTCCGTAATCTTTGAATTTCTCACAAGAAGTAACTTACTAGAGTCAAGAAGAAAACAAAATACTAGAAACCTGGAGGTCCAAATCCTCGGGGATTAGACTAAAACTAGAATTTAGTATTTTGCAGATGTAAATTTCTTCCTGCTCTCTAAGCTCATCTCTTACCCAGCCAGCTAGCTCTTTTAATCAGGTCTAATGAGAAATAGAATATAAATCAGGTTTTCAGTGCAACCCAGTCTTAATTTATTGGTTGGTTGATTTTTAAAAAATTATTGTCAACTACTCACCATGTGCACTGAGAATGTTTGTACCTTTTCACAATTGCAGGGGTTACTGAAAGTTAGGTTTGTCACTCCAGGTTTTATTTAAGAATTTTCGATCCTCCACAATGATTTCAGCTCATGGTCCCATCCCGGTGCTGGAAAAACTGTAGGTGTTCTCAGAAAGACAGTCTCTTCATGTGGGTATTTCTAAGAAAGTTCATTTGCACAGTTGTAAAAACAAGGTAGCAAAGCAGGAGGACCGGCCCCTTGGCCCGACTGGTGTGAATTCAAAAGTGAGTTGTAAAAAATAGTGTAGTTTGTTTGAACTATGTCACCAGAGTTTTCAGGGCATAAATATCTTAAAAATGGAACCAGCATACCAAAATTAAAGCATTAGGAAACTTCCAATCATGAACATGCACTGGAAACCTGGCTGTCAGAATACTGCTCCACACAGCATCGGGAAGACCTTCATCTAGTTGTGGGGTGCTAAACACTCATGCATAAGGAGGCAGCTTCGGAACACTGAAATCTCAGCCCGTAGAGCATCATGCCTGGGTTGACAGCCGCCAGTCCTCGGTCCCTCTCGGTGCCATTCCGGTCCTGCCTCAGTGGACGGCCACCCTCCCAGACGGTTTGCTCCGTAGGTAAGCCATGTGTGAGTTCTGTCCTTTCCATGTTCTGCACTAAGAAATGGTCCTGCGTTAGCTCTTGTCCACGCCGTGGCAGGCGGAGTGGTAATGCACATGCACTGTGAAGAGCAGGGCGTGAGGGGTCCTCAAGCGGAACTGCGAAAGTAAACGACATGTTCGCAAAAACCATTCTGATTCGGACCTTCAGGGTCCTAGAAAAATAGCATTATCATCATCTCGTTTTGGTCTGTTGACACTTTTAAGTTATTAACGATATCTAAGATAGTAACTGTCATGTAGAACATTTACTGTGTGTGTATAATCAAAGCAGTACCAACTTTCCAAGTAGAAGGAATCGGATCACTCACCCTGCTGTAAGGTTTATCATGAGGACCTGAAGTCTCCGGGAGTGGAATAGCAATAGGAGTGAAGGCTTGAACTTCAGATACACATGGACTCGTGGCCTTTGTCGCTTACTGAACTGTGTGGGCAAGGTCCTGAGCCAGTGGCCTCATTACCAAAATAGGGATCAGACCCCCAGGGCAAAGGGCCACGTGAGGGTCTCAGGCACGCCTGTGACCCGCGCATTACAAAGGAGGCGCTCAGTGGTTATCGGGCCCCTGCTTTCTCTAGAGGCTTGAGGACTTTTGTTAAAAAATTTAGATCTACTGAGTCCATAAAGTGCTAAGCTGTATCATCGGGAGAGCCCTCCGTCTCTCCCCTTTCTCATCTTCAGTGGCATCCTTCCTAAATGGTCCCTATCCTCCTGCTACAGAAGGATGCTCCAATGCTATGCTTAAGTTGTATGGGAGGAAAACCTCACAATTCAACAAGCAGTTATGAAGGATGAAGCGGACCCTCCAGTACCATAATTAGTTTAAAATTCACTCTTTTAAAGTATTTGCTCCTTGAGATTCAGTGAAATGAAGAGTCAGCAATAAACTCTCGCCCCCAAGGAATCAAATGGAGCCCTGGCACGTGGCAGACGGGCAGGAACCAAACTGCTTGTTCGCCGTGAGGCCTCAGGATACAGAACACAGCGAACCGAACAGACGAACATACTACACAGATCGTTACCTTCTAACTCAGCCAATACCGAGCCACCTAAAAACAAGATACTAGTTTTTCCTTTGAAACCTGAGACATCAAGAGCCTTAAATCACACATGATCTATGTGGCTATGGACAGGGTAGTCAAATTTATTTCAAAACAAAAGCTCTGTTGGGCTGCATCAGATGCAGAAGGAAAAGAATACTTAGGGGCGTGGCTAAGTCACCAGTGTGCATAACAGTGAGGGATGCCTCAAATAAGCCTCTTTTTTTTTTTTCAACTTTAAAAACTGAACTATAACATACCCATGCAGTAATATTTTTTCAGTGCTACTAATTGAAAAAAATTAAAGCCTGCACTGGAAATTTACAGTATGGCAGAATTTAGTTTCTCTTACCTTTGACCCTAATAACGTAATGTACAGATTTTATGCTAGGGTCTGTGTGAAAAATCTAAACATTTCCACAAGATTTGAAACATCACCGGAAATCTGAATTTAGAGGAAACAAAACTGGATAAAAGTACAATGCCCGTGACAGCCAACATTATGTAACTGGGCTGTATGAGGTCGTTTAGAAGGCAAGGGTTAAAAAGATAGGTGCGGAGTTTGTTTTCTTAAAATTACCCCCAAAGTTGATGCGCTGATTTGAACTTAAGTACACCAGATACTACAGCAAGGGGAAACACTGCAAAAAAGGTCATCTATTTACAGAAGAGTGATTTAAAGACATTATGGTTTTCTTTACAAACATGTAAGAACAGGAATTGTCCACTTTTTAAAAACTCTACATTTCAACCCTCCACTATTGGACTCCACCGAACTGCCTGGAGCAAACGCAGCCCCCCCACCCCTCCCCCCATTTGATTCTCCAAATAAATTTTCATCATTTCTTCATCACCCGTGGTCCAGGCTCTCAAAGTCTCTGGGCACAAGTCAGAGGAGGACAGGTTTTTTGACCCGCCGTTAAAAATAAACCCTCCCGAAACGAGAGCTGCCCGCCCCACGCCCCGGCCCCACCGAGAGCCCCTCCCTGGGCGGTTCAGTCGTCACTATCGGACAGCGTCTCGTACTGTGCGGAGAGCAGCGGGGCTGGCTCCCGCTCCCACATCCTGTTCTGTTGGTGCGGGGCCGCTTGGTTCACGGAAGAGGGGGCACATGCGATCGGTGTTGGTGGCGTACTGCTGAGCATCCGCATAGTCAGAGGGTTATATGGAAACTGAGTTGAGCCTGACGAAAGAAAAAGTGTTTTCACTGTCATGAGCACAGCTGCTGTCCCACACAACTTCACAGGATGGAGGAAGACGCGACTGTTCTACTGGAATGGTCCTGTGGCACCAAGAGCGGGATGAAACCAACGTGCAAGGGCCGAGGTTTCACGACACAGAGTGTAGCCTGTGATGAGGCCCCCAGCAGTGAGAATCTAGAAGGGATGCGTGACCCGAGTACAAGCACCAGCTTAGTGTTGCTGAGCCCGGACATGAAAGAAAGCTCGGGGCTGAGTTTTGTGTGAAGTCTAGAACGGGTGTTTTTGTGGAGAATCCCAAGTAGAACTACTGCATTTTAATCCCTAAGAGTCTGCCCCGAGAACTACCGGACTCTTAGAGCTAAAAGCAGGAGAACAGTGCTCTGAGGACGAAGGTGTGGGGGTGGCGGGACGCGGGCCATCCGCTGGAGCTCACCAGGTACCAGATCTGGAAGAGGGGTATGTGACCCTAACAAGGGCACTTCTACCTTCGGCCACTACCCTGACTGTTCCATTGTCCCCGGAAAACCTTTTACAGCTTAAGAAACTCTAAAAATGGAAAACGTACCATTTTATCAAGTCACTAGTTTCACGAATTAATTGCTTCCCTAAGAGTGATGGGAGAACAATCACTGGTGTAGGTGAGAAGTTCTCAAACTAGTACACACTTTGCACGTGATGTGAGAATTTCGTCAAGCAGAGGCCTTCAGTTATGCTGATAAAATATCCACGTGAAATTTATACACTCATAAATTAAGGGGGAGAGCACATTTCAGATTTTTTCCACTGATGTGTACTTCACTTCTAAAAAAAGATGGCTTGTAATTCTGTGAAACCCTTAAATCTACACCATATACCCCAGTTTTATTTTTTAAACAAAAAAAAAGTAAAGTTTGTTCCCTTTCAGGACTACCATTATTGTGGTTATTAGGTTTGAAAAAAAAGCTTACAAGCAAGCACAAAATGGGAAACATTAATATCCTAGGATACTGTTCTTCATCCGTCTGTGTAAACAAAGCCTACGAGAGAGAGAGGATGGCTTCTCACACTATTCCCCTTTCTTACTTTGATTTCTCAGTACTTCCCTAAGAACCTTCTCGAAGAATGTCTATATGAGAGGCTCCAGGCGGCGCGTGGCACTGGCCCCCTGCACCTAGGTGCGGTTCAGGGAGGAACTGAAAGGCCGGACTCCCTAGCCCTGTGCTCTTCCTCTGGTTCCTGGTAATCACACCTTGCATTCTTTAAGTTTTTAAGATTCTGTGCATTCAGTTTCTGTTCTGGAAAGTGGAGCCTACTGACAGAGTGGTGAGGTTACCAAAGTTTCCGATTTTACAAGAAGTACTGACCAAGGCTCGGATAAGGATCACCTGAAGACTCCTTTTCTAGCAGTAAGTTCCTCACCTGTTGAAGAGGGCCTGTCTTCCCAGGCCCACCCTGGCGTCTGCCTGTGGTAATCCCCTTCTGAATGTACAGAGGAGACGGAAGAGGGCCTCTCAGTTCCTAAGTAGCCTTGCCCAGGGATAGGAGATTTAGATTTCCTGCTGTTTGACTTGCTGATCAGCTTTGGTTTGCAAACTCCTCCTAAAAGTGAAATAAATTAACTATTGACACAGAGTAATTATGTTCTCAACTTAAAAACCTACCAAAATGCTGATGATTACATAATGCTAAGAGAAAGAAGCAGAATGGTAGGTAGCATGAAGAATCCAGATCCTAGTACCCCACGAAGTTAAAAAAGTAGTATTTAAAAGCCAGAATTTTCTTGTAGCAACTAAGCAAAAAGGGTATGTCCTCGTGCCATAAACTTAAAAACATGTAATCCAGGAAACAAAATTTCTGGAATGTCATTTCTTTCCTGGCCTCAGAGCACAGAAGCAGCTAAGGAAATTAAAGCAAGTTGACAAAAGTCGTAAATCCTCATTACCTCCTCGCCCACCAGTTTAGAGAGAAGCCAGGAGTTCATACAACCCCAAGGAAATCTTATGTCAAAAGAAAAGAAAAAAAAAATTGGAACAGAAGCCCCTTCGTGGCACTGCTGTACCCCAGCAGAAGCTTGGCAAGCGTTGCTGGCCCTTTCTGTGTCAGGCTCTGCTTCTAGAAGTTCACAGGAGTGGGATGCCCCTCTCTAGAACAAAACATTAAAAAGATCTCCCAAGAGATCAGAGCCCAGGTGAGCAGCGGTTTCCTCAGCCCCAGGAGAACAGCTTCACCCCGAGTCCGGCGGCGGACCGAAGAAGGAGGGGAGAACGCCTTCTACAGAACCCCTGAACTATCTGCAAAGAGAACAGTGCGAGTCCCTGGTGGTAAGGAAGAGAATACCCTAGGAGGAGGGGAAAGCTGCTTCGTGTACAAACAGAAACTTCAAACCGTATGAAGCCAGTTTACAAAAGGAGCTCAAAGTACAGACGGTAACCAAAAAGGGTGAGGTGAAAAGCTCGGGGAACAAAATGCGGCAGGGGTCAGAGCCCCGAGGGAAGATGGGATACGGTAACAGCAACAGGAAGAGACCGAGAGGACTACAGAGGACGGGGACCAGCCAGCAAAAATGTCATTGTGTCTCTGAGCCGGAGAGCCCAGTGAAAGAAAGCAGAACATTTCCATGAGCGTAGAAACCAACCCGCAGACGCAGAGAGCCTCGCTACGATCAGGAAGACCTGACACAGGACGAACACTAACGGATGAGTTACCGATCGAAACTGAGGAGAAGAGGATTCTTCAGGCAGATAAACCGTCGCCTGCTAAACAGGAGGGCATCCGGCCTGACTGCTACACAACTGACGCCCAGAAATAAATGCAATCGTGCCTACGGATGTTCCGAGGAAAGTGCCATGCTGTCATTTCAGATATAAAGGCAGCAAGAAGACATTTCTGAGTGTGAACAGCCTGTGAGTACAACACCCTCCGTGAGGAAAAGGGCCATGAGAACCAGAGCAGATGCCACAGCAGGAGGATGACACAACCAGAGTCACAATGTCACGGCCTTCAAGTACACGCACACTTGAATCTGTACAAATCAGGACCTAAGAGCAGGAGGTGGGGGGAAGACCACGCTCCTCTTTCAGAGCAGGATGTGAATCCATACTGTCCTAAAATTCATGTATGTAGGTTAAAAAAAAAAAAAAACCCAAAAACCAACACCTCTGATCTCTTTGATCTTCTTAACCTTAGTGAGATACTTTGCTTGATGATAACAGGGAAAAAAAACCCTAAACTGGAAATACTTCGGACCTGCAGGGAAATTTTTAAGCACAAGAGATAATTAGTTCTCAGAAGATTAAGGAAAAAGTGTTTAAAGGAAGTTTACAGTCGCTGTTTTCTGTGTGCTTGCTTCTACCAGGATGTGTGAATGATCTCATTCTAATGTCTATCTGTCCTTTTATGTGTCTATATGGAGACACTTCTAGAATGATGCTTCTCAGAAAAGAATACTAGCTTTTTCTGGATGATGTGATCTGAAGGTTTTTTTTTTTTTCCTTTTTATTCTATGGCTTAAAATTCTTTTATGCTGAGCCTATCACTATTATTTTTTTATTCAAAAGCAGAATATGAAACTGCATTTGTGTTACAATTAAAATGTGTCCAACCCAGATAAGGATTAGATACAAACAAAAATAATACCCAACACTGAATAGTGACGTTCTGTGTAAAAATTTCCGTCCTTTGAAAGTTTCTGTTCATGTTACTAAAAGGTCTGAGCAGGATTTAAAAACAAACAAACAAACTTTTTGTAAGTAACTAAGACCCTGAGAGGTGACATCTTTTAGTGAAGCATTACAACTTGGCTTTTTCTTGGGAAAGGCAGCAGAAGAGCACAAAAGTGAAAACTTTACCTGAATGAGGCGACGGGTCCCCTTCCTCTCTCCGTGTCTCACCACCGGTCACAACGGAGGTGTTAGCGCCGCCAGGCACCACACCCACAGGCTGGGACATGACAACTCCGTGCTCCTCCACTTTGTCATCAAAGCTTCCCATGAGAGCCTTCCTGATAATGTCTTCCAGACCAAGATTACTGGCGGGATCAGCGAAAGAATGACCTCTAGAGCTAACCGAGCCTGAAAGAGACAAGCACCACATTTTCTGCTTACTTCTGAAAGGCAGACCAAGAAACAGAAAGGAACAGCCCCCGCAGAGGCTGTCGGCCCACGGAACGCACAGCATGTGGCCTAAAGCACCACTGAGGGCCCACACAAGGGCCACTTCTGTCCACCGATAAGGACTCGAGGGTATTTTTTTCTCTGTGCTGAATGAATCAGTCCCTCACTTTTATTAAAGTTACGATTCAACAGTTTTCTTCCTCTTTTCAGCTCCCTAGTTTCTACACTGTTCTTTAATGGTTTTGAGTCTCTGTTCATTTCTCTTTCTAGCAAGTATTTATTGAATCGCAACTCCGTTTTTATTGCTGCTATGTCCTCCCTGACTGACACAATTTTCTCCCCTTTCGCATCCGGGAGCAGCAGCCCAGTGTGCCGCCGGGACCCAGTCTGAATTTGCTGGCAGCGCACACATGCTGCGCTGGGACGCTTACCTGAGGCAGTCACCGCTGGCAGATTAAAGATCTCAGTTCCCGGCTGAGCGGCTGCTGTATTTAAACAAACGTTCAAGTTAGCGGAGGCAGGATAACCATACACGCTGAAAGAGAGACAGTCTCAAAACCCTCCAGTGAAATTCACCTTTTTATTTTCCATGATCTCAACCTGGTTTTTCACCAGTTAAGTGAAAATAAAGTGAAAGAAATAATTATTTTTTTTAAAAAGAAACTCTGGCAATAAAAATCTGGATGAGGTAGGAAGATGAGAACAGGAGCAATCTCCCCAGGGGCGGGAAAGAGACACTGTGCTGCTGGAGAAACAAGAGGTGGCGGCCAGTTTACTGGGGAACAGACCGGGGCCTACGCTGGCCCTGGCCAATGGCAGCCGGCCTCAGACCCCGGAGGGAAGAGCACGGCAATGACCGTGGGTTTCCCGACTGTGGGTCACTGCGGACTACTCTCACACTCCCGGGATGACGCAGAGACTCCCGCTAAGCCTGCCATCTGTCTGTCACTGGCACAGTCTGATGCCAGGCAGACAGCCTGGGAACTACGTATAAAGCACAGAAACGGGAGGAATCTCAGAACACAAACGGTGTTTTCATCCCAACCTCCGACTTGATGATGGGAAGCCGAAAGAAGAGTGCGGGGAGCAGGTGGGCAGCGAAACAAGAGGTCCCGGGGAAGGATGTGGCGTTGGGGATGCATCTGCAGCAGGAGGGACCCTTCCCTGGAGAGGAGACCGGGCTCTGGAGAAGGGCTTGGTACACGCGCCCCGTAACTAACTTTCCTGATCAGGGAAGGTTTACACTGGCAACAGGAGGAGGAGAGAAATCTCCAGGAAGAACTTACAAAATAAGGACCGTCTCCCTACTTAAGGGTCAGCTGACACTTACAAAGTGACAGATACAGCCTCGCTGTCCTCATAGAGGTTTGTGGAATAGGGCTCATTCATTCATTCGACAAATATTTATTGAACAGTTATGTAGTTGAATCATAATAAAAATCACCTTCTTACTGATCAGAATGGTCAGATAAAGACAATTTCGCATTTTTCAGCCAACGAGAATACAAAGATCCTGCGCTTAAAATGCACTCCTTCCTTGACCTTTGGAGCTCACGGTTCAGTGTGGTTCTTCCTGAGGCCATCAGGACAGAATCCCCTGGGGAGCCTCAGTAACAGTGCTAGAGTCCTGAGGCCTGCATTCCAGGGACTGATAGATACCAGAGTGTGAGGACCCCTGGTTTAAAGAGATGGGCAAGCTTGTGAGAGAACATGGTAACTGTTCAGAAATGAGCAAGGAAGAGTGGCATGTGCGAGCTGTTTGGGGGGCAGGCTTGACAGGAAGAGGTACAGGGGGACGAGGCCCAGAGAGTGACAGCGGAGCCACGGTGGAGGTGAGTGTGGCAGGGGAGGAGGGGCAACAGGCTTCTCTGTGTGGAGAGGAGGAATGTTAACTCAGTGTTACACATTTCAGAAGCCAGATATTCGAGAAGACATGAAGCCTGTAAAGGTATGTAAGTAAAACTTAGTAGAAAAAGTTGAAGTCCAGCTAGGAGTTCGGGAGCTCTCAGCACACAGTTTAAACTCCCAGAGTAGATGACATGAGTCAGGGATTTTATCACATGAGCACAACACTGGGCAAACCAGCACCCGAGGGCCAGGCAAAGCAAGACTGAGCTGCTGAAGAAACATAACACATGGCCAGAGAAGTAGAGGAAAAACACGGGAGAACAGCAAGAGAAGAGAATATTTCTGAAAGAGGGAAATGGCTCATGGGAGGTCAACTAAAGTAAGTTTTAAAGCATTAACGGTTTTTGAAGAATAAAGTCACTGATGTCCTCAGCGGGCACGCTGAATTGAGAGACAGACTTGAAACAAAGTGGTCTTGGCTGCTGATGGCTTGGATTTCTCAGTCCTATTTCCCTGAGGACGACTGAGTGTGCCCTGGGGCCTTAACTGTCCCTTTCCACAATGGAAAACAGTTCTGGCAATCAAAACAACCCTCCAGCAATTTTGTTAGTACTTGCCTTAAGACGTTCACCAATTTTATCTTGTGTTAAAGTGAGGTACTTGTTTCATTACACATTTTCAGAGTAGAGACCATCTGTCATTCTACAAGCACGCAGCACAGGACCCGGGCTCAGTAAATAACCGCCGAATGAATGAATGAACGAGAGAGCTACTGTCTGAGGACAACGGAAAACAGAAGACAAAACTGGAATGTAGCCTGCTTCAAGTCACGGGGCATTTTCCTGTCAAGAATGTTTTTCCCCACCAAAATGGCAAGACCAAGACTGGAGAGGATGAGGGCAAACGACACGAAGGTGGCACGATTCTAGACTCTGTACGTCTCCGTGCTCAGGCACTCCTCTCCGGGTTCTGAGAGAAGCAAAGGGTGAGCGCGCCAGACTGTTGTTGGTGACATTTGAGGCGCTGTAAATAACAGATGAAACCAGTGATGAGACAGAAAAATGTCATAATTTTTTTAAACAGGATCATCTTGAGAGCAATGCCGGCCGGTATTCGAAAATGGTTCTTTTTTACATGATTTGTTGCCCCTTCGAAAGAGAAAGTTTACAAACAATAACTGACACTGGGCTCATCCCTTTTTCTCTCTGATGTTCAACCTTTATTGATCACAAAGGGTCAGATCGAGACGCACATCCACCTGGCAATTTGGGGTTCACAGCCCGCAGCTGCTTGTGACAGGGTCAGGAGACGAGCGGTCGCAGAGGACAGAAACAAAGCAGACTGTGGACTACCCGGATCCACCAGCTCTCGCTGCATCACGGGATATACTTGACGAAGAAATGGAGAAGTGGGACCGAGCGAGTGAGTGCTGAGGAAGAGAGCACGAGGAAGCTTCCAGTGAATGTGCGCGTATCGCCCGAGGGAAGGTCTGCATGGCACAGAGCTCGATCCTACGGAGGCTCTACCAGCGATGCGGGTGGCGACGCTGTGGGTACAGAACCCCTAGAAGCCAGCGAGCACACCGGAAGCGTGGAGCCGGCACGCACGGTAGCGCGCAGGGCTGTTGTGAGGATGGAATGAGTTTATACGTGCTTACAAGTGCCAAGAGCTGTCTCTCTCTCTCTGAATCTACAGCTGTTTGCTACCATTATGATTCATGGCAGATTGATCATGTTTGCGGATGAATGCTGAATGACTGAACTGAGATCCAGAAAGACCGTGCTAGGGTAGAAAAAGTAGCCACGCAGCACGAGCACAGACTGCCTTGGCCTGTACTTGGAGCTAGTAACCACAAAGGTACAGCAAGGGAAAGGTCTGGGTCAAGAGCAACACACTGAAAGAGACCTTGTATTTACACTGGTATTAAGTGCACAATAACCTCACTATGTACTGGTTGCCAAAAACGCTAATACAGTCTTAGACTCCCTTAATATTAAGTGATGCATTGGGGGGAGATCATACCACACTACTCACAAGCTACTGAAAGGCAGAGCTAAATAAAGTGGTTTTTTGTGGAGGGCATTTGAGATGGGAGCCAGCATGGGATGAACAGCGGATGAAACAGGATGTTTCCACAGATAAGACTTGAAGGACATGACTTGTCTTCAAATGGTGGAGGACAGGTCATGTAGAGAAGGCCCGAATGGATAAAACTAAGACCAGTGGGTAAACTGCGAAGAGCTGATCCAGCCCCACAGAAGAAAAGCTTCCCAGGCCCCACACTTGTTCAGATGGGCAGCTTCAGAAAGCAGCAAGTTCTTGCTCTCTAGCAGGCAATCTTCATGCACGGGCAGACATCTGAGAAGAAACTTTAAGCTCAAATGTGGTTGGACAGACGCCTGTAAGAGCCTGCAAACTCAAGGACTGCATGAGAGGCAACACCGGAGAGATCATTATTAATGCAGGTTTTATTTTGGGATTCATGAAAGAAATCCCACTTACCCATATCAGAGTCACCTCCACCAGAGGAGTTCAACTTACGAAAAATCTCCTGCTTCTTTGATTTAACCATGGGTGACGTGTTTTCAAGCTTGGTGAAGAACGAAGGCAAGTAGCTTATACTCCCCGGTGAGCGGGAATCATTCCTGTGGGGACACAGTCATGTCTGTTATTAGTTCTGTTTCGTCATGTGCCCCTAACCCTGGGGACTCCCATAGAGTATTTGGGAAAACTATCACTTCCCCATCTCGTGTTTGTGGTGACAACCCTACATCGTATTTCAGAACACAAACAAATACTAGCACTCGCAAAAAATCAGGACAGGAATGGAGATAATCCAGGACAGAGATTCTTAACAAAGACCGAATAAGCAGCAAATGATGTTAACAGGAAAACTTAGAAACAGCCCACCCCGCTGCTATCTGCCTAACCACAGACACCGGTATATTTACAGCCGCCACATAGGCCGAGAACTGTCCTATTAGCCGAACTACTCTAAAGTACAATAAATTAAAACTAATAGCACTACTTGCCTATAAAATAGCAAGAGCTCATACCTAAGCAATCAAACCTTGTGGACTTCAACAGAAGAGCTACAATGTAGAAATAAAACTGCCTCCATCAGAATCATTTCAAGCCTCCCACCAGATGAGCTGAGCTTCATGTAAAAAACTGCACAATCCATTCACAGCTTCCTGTACTAACACATTTTAAACAAGCAAGTTTCCTTTAACAGCTCAAGACCACCAGTGGTCTAGCTGGAGCTAGAGATGATAGCCAAGAACTGTGGAAGGCTGGTGATAACCTAATCCAGTCGTGTGGATTCATTCAAACTTAAGAATCCCTACTATATGTCAAGAGAGACAAATATGTGAAAGAAAAATAAGATGTGGCCCTGTCCTCAAAAAACTCACAAACTTAAGGGAAAACATGTAAACACGTAATTAAATTTAACATCATCCCCTTTCCAAAAATGGATTTTTCTTCATTTCACTAAAAGGTACCAACATCTATTTGCCCGGCCGTGAATATGTACGATACATAAATAACCCAGAACACATTGTAAGAAATGCACTAGCTGCGCAGTGAGGCCTTGGTTTAGAGCTGGACCCCATTTATCTGACCACGGGCAAATCCTGGATCCTCCGCACAGAACATCGCGGGTGCCGTACACTAAGAAAACCACACGCGCGGGGACTGAAAGGCATTCTGGGGACAGGAAGCAGCTGGTAGTGGACAAAGAGAAGAGAGGAAGGGTGGTGTGGCAGAAATGAGACGTGGCAAGAACCTGCTCACAGAGGAACTCAAATACCAACCTAAATGACTTGGAGCTCGAGTCCATGAGTTTTGGACAAAGCACTCTAGGGGAAGTGGACTGGGTCGGGGCCAAATCAAAGGCAGCTAATGCAGAGAGGAATAAAAATCTAAGAATTCACAGGGGTCGGGTAAGAAACAGATAAGAAAACATGTGAGGCAGTTACTTCCATGTACAGTCCACAGAGTGGCTGGATCAATGGGTGACCACATGGACAAAAAAGGTTTTTTTAAAAAACAGATCTAGAAAGGCTTAATTTCAAGAAGAAATCATTAAAGTATCACTGTTTCATTAAAATCCACTAGCATTAGGGGCACCTGGGTGGCTCGGTCATTAAGCATCTGCCTTCAGCTCAGGTCATGATCCCAGGGTCCTGGGATGGAGCCCTGCATCGGGCTCCCTGCTCAGCGGGAAGCCTGCTTCTCCCTCTCCCAGTCCCCCTGCTTGTGTTCCCTCTCTCGCTGTGTCTCTGTCAAATAAATAAAAACTTTAAAAATAAAATAAAATAAAATCCACTAGCATTAGATCACTAGGAAAACAGAGACTACAGGATCCTTCCAGACTCCTATGGTAACATACAAACAGAGGGAGAAGAGGCACTGACTTAAGGAAAACCGGAAGCACATCACACACTCATGCTCACACACTCATACATACACACTTACACTCACACACTCGCTCACACTCACTCTCTCGGGAGCTGCTGTCCGGGACGCACAGCTGGCTGCTCACCTCTGTTCTGCGGGCTCCGCTCCTCTCTGAGACAGTAGCAGCATGCTGTCCTGTTTCTCATGCACAACTGGGACCTGGGGCGGGGAGATGGGCTCGTAGGACTCGGAAGGGACGTGACTCCTCTCTGGGGATTTTCCAGGCCTAATATTGTAACACAGAAAGCTTTAGAGTGTGCTCCTAGGGCCCAGTACAAATTACCTGAAACAGAAACTGGTTCACTCATTACTTATTCAAGAGAAGGAATAAAAGTTGCTAGTTTATATCAGAAAAAAATTGCCTCAGGTTTTCACTATATACCTGGTTACCAAAAAGTCTGTTGCCACTGCTTTATCTGTGCACGCACGCCAAGCACCCGGGACAGGCAGTGCTCCGCCGGGAGGTCAAGGCCACTGTGTGTTTCAGCACCACACCCCACCATCCTGCCCTTGGCCGGCTACTCCGGCGAGCCCTCCAGACTCTCACTGCTTACCAGGTGTTTCCCCATTAAGTTAAGAGAGAAAGGACTGGAGTACCAAACTGAACCCTGAGCCTGCCAGACAGGCTCAAGTTACACCCTTGTAGGGCTCTGCAATTTAATGGTCTTCCTCTGGCTACCGTGTTGGTAAGTACAGTGTGAGAGAAACATAGTGTTTAGACCAAAACAAGTTTCTGGCTTAGTGATTACACATTTAAGAGCCACCTGTGACCTTTGAGTATAAATGGATGTATGCCCCGTCACCTACTTTCCCAATCAACCCCATCCAATTTTTACAGGTGGCCATTTTTGACCATTTTTCTTTGAGTTCTTTGGTGGTTACCTCTAAAACTCTAAAAAATCTTACACTTTTCTTGATTTATCAAACTTGAAACATTATCAAACTTGAAACAGTATCTATCACCTCCCTTCAACGGAAAGACTTGACTTTTGAATAGACATTAAAAAGAGATCATACCAATTGCCCAGACAGTGAACATTCCAAGAATATAGAGGGAAAACCCTCATTTGTATTTCCCAAGGAATGAAGGTAAATAAATTTTAGGTGTAAGTAATGAATCCCCTAACTGGGGGGGGGGGGGTAATCTGTGGAGAATAACAGTAAAACAACATTGTTTTACTGTTGGGAAATGTACATAGAGTTTGAAATAAAAACCATACCTTCCCCTGGATTTGTCCACAAGATTTTCTGGAGAGACCCTTGACCCTGGTCTTTGATGGTGGACAGACTGAGACTGGGATTCTGGGCTATAACGATTGGATGTTTTAGTCCTCACAGGTGTGGGCACCAAAGCAGATGGCGAGTTTTGGAATGTAGAAGTGGGAGGCTGCTGGGGAGGCTGGGAGGAAACTTGATTTCTAGCAAAATCTTGTGTGATAATTTGCTGTGAATGAAAAAAGAAGGACTTGGTTAAACCCGTTGAGTACTTGCCAAAAAATGTAGCATAAAAAACCCGGACATCTTTTTTGTGATTCTCTCTCTGTGAAATGTGCCTTCTGCGTTGATCAAAAGAAGAAAAATTAACGGAATAACTTACACAGATGTGATCAGCAAGTGTGATCAGGCGGTGGGTCCTGGGCACCTGCCCCACACCGTCGGCCGGTGAGGAGGCGGGCAGTTGCTGTTGTGGAGACAGTGGTTCCTGCTGGGGGCGGTAGTGATGTAATGGCCCTTCGTACTGTCTGCTGGCTTCACCTAACGGAGGACAGACAGATGTCTTACTCAGGGATGCCCCGGCCTTTCACTCATCATCAAAGATTGAACACGACTCAGAGGGGCACATGCGAGGGATGTGATACCTGTCTCTAAGCAGAATTCATTATCTTAATTTCGAAAGGAAAAACACTGGCTGGCTGACAGAAATCAGGACTAGTACAGAATGAACTGTGAAAGCGTAAGCGGGCAAACGAAATATCAATGATTTCCTGTATCATTAAATGTAAACAAAGGAGTGATCAATAAAAGCTTCAAACCAACTTTCCATCAGTGCAGCTTTAAATGTCTCTAAAGCAGACTCCTATAAAGATTACTCTAAAACCAAACCAAACCAGTTCGTTCTTAACACGGTCCAGACAGATGGTCAGAAGCAAATGCCAGGTGCAGATATGAAAACAGGTCAACCTGGTGGCTAAAAAATACATACTTTCTGCTTGATTTGCCTTCACCACCTCTGGCTGATAGGCCTGCAGTTTCTCCTGGGGCGGCGCAGGTGAACTAGCAGGGCTGATCACCTCAATAGCATCGCCGGGTGCTTCATACCGATGAGAAGATACTTTAAGAAAAGTAAAGAATCTAATTTTAAAACTAATCCTGTGAGAAGCTTCAAAAGTCCAAATTCTTCAAACCTATTCACATATTTTTGTTTTTTATTCTCAGAAACGTTCGATGATAAAAACCAACCAGCTCAATGCACTGGTATCAATGGTCCGCAAGGGCTTCCTCAGGCTCCTAGTCTCTGTAGGGAACAGGGTTTTATGAAATTGTGTGGCTTCTAGGACCTTGAGGTGAGGCAGGCTAGGGAACAGATCTGCGGCAACCACCACCACCAGGAAGGACACTTCTCAGAGGAGGCTGAGCAAATCAGAGAGTAGATCTCCACAGTTCACCGTTTCCAATGATTAAAATTCTGGGGGACAGTCGGCTCTTAGAAACACTTTCAGGCTACATGGTTGCTTCATTATCATGATTTTAAAGCTACTGATGAAGTAACATTACATAATAATTTTCACAAATCACTGGATTACTGCAGACAAGTATTACTCCAAATGATTTCTCAGCACTGTTACACTGAAAATACACAGAAATGGTAGGGAATGTCTGAAAAGAAGAAAATTCACCCCCCTGGGAAAGGATGCCCACATCAGAGAAGGCCCCTCTAAGCGGAAGTTCCCAGGAAAACTGACAGAGGGTTGATGCAACGGGGGTGGGGGGGGCGGTGGGCAGCCGCTGTTCACAGTCCTGCCGTGGCCTCCGAGCAAGGCGACAGACACATGGAACCTCCTGGTCTGGAACCTTCTGACTCTAGAGTGCACTCTGCATCTACAGGCTGCAGAATCTGAGAAAACTGTCCGAGGCCCAAAGGGTCCATGTATGACTAGCTGGATCAACAAGTGTGATCAGTCAGTGGGCCCTGGACACAGGTATAAAAGCTCGGAATAAGCTCTATTACAGGCTCCCACCGAGATCCTCCAGTACCCAACGAACAGCCCTTTCTTCCTACCCCTTCACCAGGCCATGCAAGTTGCAATTAGCTGGGTTCTGGTACACTCAGGACAGAAACCTGGTGATTGGGATGGAAATGATCTTTCGGGAACTAAAATTAACTATTTTCGAAGTAATTTAGACTACTTGGTGACTTCAGTATCCACGGGAATTCATCACTGTTTATGTTCCCAGCACCCTAAATCTGGTCACCACATCCAATATACAGTCACTGGAAAGTCTGAGGCCAAACTGTGTTCACCTTCAGGGGGGAGGGGCTCTGAAGGGAAAAACTGAAAACCACACTGAGTAACAGTAAGTAGCCTGTGGATTCCACGCAAATCATTTACCCAGTGATAAAAAAAAAATAACCCCACTCAGAAAAGACGACAAACCTATTTTCAGACCTTCTGAAGGTCAGACTCCTAGAGCAAGGTCTGGTTTGTGATGCCAACTGAAAGGGAGTGCTAGCCAGTGACTAGAGCCGTGCACCCCAGCGTCCAATAAGCCACAGGCTGGATGGGTCACCAGGTGTGCTGGTGACCTCCCTCCAGGCCTGCTCTGCAAGGACAGATCCTCAGCTAGCAAGTTTTCTGAATGCGTAATACCTATTTTGCAGATGTTCATACTCCCAGGCGAACAGAAGTTTTCTGTCTACACAGCAGACTACCAATCTGCCCCCTTCTTTCCAGAAAGCTCAGCCATGGGGTAGATATTTACCAAAACAGATTATAAGTAGGCACGGGGGGTAAAAAGAATTACACATTGCATGCTGAAGCATAAGAACTCTCCAACTCTCCTCAATTTCATTAACAAAAACAACAGAGAGATGCCCACGTATGGTTAAATTACTTCAAGGATTAGCAGATAGTTGCTTAAATACCCGATTCTTCCTTCCGGAATTCCATACAGAATTTAGGCAGTCGTTAAAAATAAATTTGAAGTAACTCTTCCAGCATTTTACTGTAGATTTGTGAACTCTTACGGATTCAACAGGGTACATGTCAAAATGACTACCCAGACTTGATCAAAATCCAGCTTGCAACGAGAGAGGGCAAACCTGTGGTCACCAGAGGGGAGCTGGGGGAAATCGGTGACGGGGATGAAGGGTACACTTATCATGATGTGCACCGAGTCATGTACAGAAGTACTGAATCACCATGGTACACACCCGAAGCTCCTAACACTCTATGTTAACTATCCTGGAATTAAAATAGAATTTAAAAACAGTTTAAAAAAAAATTAACACATGAAAACAATTTTAGAAAATGAGCACAGAATAGCATATGCATAAAGAAGGAATAAAAGTGACCAATACATATATGAAAAAAAATTTTTAAAGATCCAGCTTGTGAAAAAGGTGTAATGTAGATACCAATGACCAGTAATTCAGTGGTCTTGCTTTTTAAAAATCTGTGTTAGAAAAAGGATATAAGAGACTTTGGGGTATCAACCTCAATACTGAACTTCATCCTAGAAAATGCTTCTTAAGAGACCTTGGTAGCCTCTCTGACCTTTCAGATGCGCAAAAATGATCACGAGCTCTGCCCTGTCTACTTTCCAGTTTTACCTCTATAAGGGACACAGTGTTTGCATGGAAAATACTTTGACAGGCATACTTAAGAAACTCTGAAGTTTAAATAATCATGACAAACAGCAGAAGAGACATTTTTGCACTACTAACCCACAGAACCTTTCCATTACATTTACTCTCAGATCAGGATTTTCTTTATATCATATTGTTCTGCTTTACCTAAAGAATAAAGTAATTCTTTACTCAGATATCACATTGCAAAACTCAGATTGAGATACATACAGCTACTAGAAGAGTCTGAACTTTGAGAGCCACGTTCCCTTGCATCCTTGTCCGAGGCAATTTGCCGGGTGATGATCACGTCTATGAAGTTAGCTGCAGTAATGGTAGTCTTCCCTCGGGTCCTTAGCTCTTCCTCATATCTGGATTTTGGAGGAGGCCCTTTATCTTTCCCAGCCTCAGAATAAACTACTGAAGAATGAGGCTGGGGCTTGCCACTTGGAAAGGCTGCAGAAGTGTACAGACACTGAACAGATCTCTTCTCCACCTCCAGGGGTTTCTGCTCTAGCTGCTGCTGTTCACTAACTGCTGCTGACCTGCTTCTCAAATTTTCTTCTAACCTGGAAGCTTCATGCTTACTCTCTTTGGTTTTGGAAACCTCCATCTGGGGGGCAGAGGCTGCGGCGTCCACAAGGGCAGCCAGGGCGTCCGCAGCGGTACTGTAGCGGGAGGCCGGCAGGCCCTGGCTTATCGACGGGCCCCCAGCGGGCAGCGGCCTGCAAACGAAAGCAAACCACACACGAGTCCGTGAAGGGCGGGCTCCACCGGGGACGTGCCGGGGCGGCGGGAGGACAAGCGGCAACAACGAAGCGTACATCCCCAAACCATCGCGGTCACACATTTGCGAGTGTGCGGTATGTGCCAGGGACTGCCGCTTTCGGTCAAAATGCGCACAAGGGACTCACATGATTCGGAGCTGAGCACTTGGATCCAAAGGTGTGATTACACTGGTTCCATTGGTTCCTTGGAACACACTGGGTCTCTGCTGCAACATGGTCTCCTGGGCTCTAACTGAAGGGGACGGGGAGCGGACGTATCCATGACTGCCCGGTCGACCCGGCTGTTCCGAGCCTGCGAAGGCCAAAAACAAAAAAGAAGAAGAAAAGACAAGCCATAAGGAAGAAGCCGGAGACAGCAACATTCAGGGCCTGTTCATTTTCTAATATTCCTAAACAGAAAAAAGGTAAGAAACCGGACACCCTGCTTTTTGGCCTTTCTAGAAGTATGTTCTCTAAGAGCTTCTCAATAAAGATGTAATAAAACCATACCAGTAACTCGCAACAAAAACATCAACTATCAGTTACTGTCACTTCTGTTTATGTGACAAGTTTCTACCTTGATTCGGAGAGAAACAAAAGTAACACCAACACTGACGTAGGGTTGACCCTTTAACAACAGGGGTTTGAAGAGCATGGCTCCACCTACACGTGGATTTTCGGTGTGAAAACTACAGCAGATGTAGATAGGTTTTCCTTACAATTTTCTCATTTTTTTCTCTAGCTGACTTTACTGTAAGAATACAGTACGGGATACACAGAACATACAAAATATGTGTCAGCTGTTTCTGTTACCTGTAAGGCTTCTGGTCAATAGGAAGCTGTCAGCAGGTAAGTTCTGGGGAGTCAAAGTTACGGCTGGATTTTCTAGTGCGGGGCGGGGCGGGGCGGGTCAGCGCCCCTAACCCCCGAGTTGTGCAAGGGTCAGCTGCCCTCATACAAATCAGACAAGTTCATCTCTCAGATTTTTCCCCAGACCCTGGTGTGCTGATCATTTCCATTTGGTGCAGCCGTCTAAGTACCGTGATGGACACGGCACACCGCCGCCAGCCTGCGGTCTGAGCAGCTTCGTCCTGCCACAGCTCTCCCTGCTCCGCTCGCCTCTGCCCTGCCCAGTGAAGGGCTCCTCTCAGCGAGCTCTCTTTGGACACGTCACTCACGCTGCCCTCCCCCAAGACTCAGTGCCACGAACAGCCTCCCCAACAGCTGAGATGGTTCTGTTCACTGACCTCAGCTCTCCCGTAACACAGCCACCGCTTGGACTTGGTCAGCACCACTCACTGCGAAGATCTCAAACTCCCTCTCTCACCCCTCTCTTCTCTGCCTCCTCTGTCCTCTGTCCTCAGAAGCGGGCCGCTCCCGCATACGGCCCACTCCCAGAGCACGACCACCTAGCGCAAGCGTCTCAGCCATTTCCCCCCTTCCAGCCACACAACAGCTGATAGAAGCATTTCTAGACTCCCAGAAGAGGCACTGCTATTTAAGTTTTTGTAGCCCCGCGAAGACTCTCCCTGTTTACACTGCCGCTGACCACGTGTGAGTCCGTGTTTCTTTGGACACAGCAACACAGAATATTTATCAACTTTTTAAATGTCTGATGGAGGAAAATGGTATTATATCAGCTTGAATTTGCATGTTATTCATTAATGTGATCATGAGCATTTTAAAAAAATAGAGTTCCTACCCTAAGGATATAGTGTATGGTGATTAACATAACATCATAAAATAAATTTAAAAAAAAACTCAAAAAAATATATAGTTCCTACCCAAGTTTTGCTTTAATTAAATCAATGGCCATGTTATTATGCAGTCAACATATAATCAGTATTAGGCTGCTACCTCACAACTCACTAAAGCATCTCCTGTGGTGATTTTTTACTATATACAGACAGTAGGTTACAGCTCAGTGTCTTCGGGCTTTGCAACCACTGACTCATTCAACATAAATCCTGGGTCGAATACGAAGACCAGCCTTGGGCCCCTGCTCTATACTGTGCCCACTCTGATGTTGAGGTCTGTCCCCCATGAGCACGAGTGTGACAGCCTGCCTGCCTCGCGCCCTTTGGTTCTGTACCCACCTCTCTGACCGAGTCTCTGGTCCCCTCTGCCTGCACCTCCGACACCCCTGCCAGGACCGCCTACGGACCGCCCCACCCCTCCCCACACACCGGCCGCTGGGAAATCTCACCCCAGCCAGAGCCACAACCCTTGCAGGGGACTCCTAGGTCCCCGTGTGCAGCCTGCCTTTTCTCCTAAGGGCCAGATCTGTCTGTCCGTCAACATGGACACGGGAAGTACTTTTCTCTCACTGACAGAACAGAACGCAAAATGACAAATCTACCACGGGTCAGAACAAATGTTCCAGAGACGCTTCAAAGTACATCCCACGGTGAAACTCCCTTCCTCCCTCTCTCCTTTCCCTAATCCTGCTCTGTCTTCCGTGCAGAGCTGGCTTGTTTCTCGCGCCCCCCCCCCATGCCCCCCACCACTGAGCTGCTGCCCAGTCCTCTTTGCACGGTGACAGCGTTCTTCCCGGCCCTGCCCGGCCACATGGCCTCGCTGTGGCTCCTGGCACCAGCCCACACCCCCTCCAGGGTTCTAACCCGCCTCCAGGCCCTCCTCCCACCGCAGGGCAGCACCTGTCATTCCCAGTGTCACCCGGCCTTCTCCTTGTACGGCCGTCTTCCTCAAACGCCAGCCCCACAGCACGTCGCATCTTCATGGCCGGGAGCCTTTGCTCGGGCTTTCAGCCTCACTGAGCTCTGCGCCCAGGATCTTCAGGCCCAATGGTTGCCAACTGCTGGGGCCAAATCAAAATGATGCCTTCCTGGTGAAAACCTCAGCTTCCTGTTCAGAGTTCGCATACTGCACTTTCACCTGCACTTCACTTAAGGCCTGAGATTACTTTCTGTCTCCTGATTCCTGCGTTTAAGATCAGCTCAGCAGCCCCCGCAACAGGAAGCCCGATGCCCCGTTGGACCGATTACCAAGGAGAGTCCACGGCACGAACAACAGCACACCGCTCACCTGGCCGAAGGTAGAGGTCTGAGGACGCGGCCGCGGCAATCCGCTCCCGCTCCTTCTCCCGTTCCCGCTCCCGCTCCCGCTCAGCACTCGCAGCCGCTGCAAGGTGTGTCGAGTGTCCTGTAAAACACGGAAATCTGCAACTTAAAGACAACAACATCAACCCGCCGGGTACAAACAACTTTTAAATTTTTAAGTGACTGAAAATTTTTCAAAACGCTCCCAACTTGAGATGTAGAGTCTTGGATGACAAGTGACACCTAACACAAGCTTTTGGGATATTTCTGGCATATCTGGTGACAGATGGCATAGAAGAACTGTTACTAAATATTAAGTGAAAAACAGCAGAGCAGGGGCGGCTGGGGGGGCTCAGTCGGCTGAGTATCCTACTCTTGATTTTAGGTCAGGTCATGATCTCAGGGCGGTGGGCTCGAGCCCTGTGTCAGGCTTCACCCTCAGCAGGTTCTCTCCCTCTCCCTCTGCTCCTCCCCCTGCTCGCTCGCTCGCTCTCTCAAATAAATAAATCTTTAAAAAAAAAAAAACCCAACAGACAGATGGGGGGAAAGCCCAAAACGCCTTCAAAGGCTATGCTGTCAACACTCAGGCACGCTGGTCATAGCAGAGAGGGGCGTGACTGGTCTCTCACCTGGAGACACAGATGCAGAGTTGTACGGCCTGGGCGGGAAAGTAATCTGTGTGCCAGGAATATAAGTGATTCTGTCCATGGGAGGCGTACTCGTGCCCCCGGGATGAGGCACTAAAATCGCTGGAGGCATGTTGGTCAGGTCAATGATTCCTGCTTGCAAGGCAAAGACAATAAAATGATGTTAAATGTCAGTTTCTCTAAAGATACAGAACTGTACGTGGCTTTTTAAAATCCTTTCTCTCTGTAACTCAATGATACTTTGTATACAGTATAAGTAAAAATGGTTAAGATCATCATGACTTTGTAAGACCTTCTTTAAATCTACACAAGGCTATGAAATCCTGCGCCCCACACGAGTCACCTGAAAGCATGGACAGGTTACCGAGAGAGACAGCAAACTGGTAAGACAATGACTTCAGATAGTTCAGCTATGTCAGTGTTCACCAAAACACCCCATCTTGACGCATCACTTTACCTCCGAGGGCTAAAAGCTACAGAGGCAAGGACAGGGCTGCCTTTTCTTCCATTCCATCGTTCACTCAGCAAATACTCACTGACACTTGGTACACCTAACCCATCCTAGGAAACCCGAACGCCAAGACACGCACCCCTTGTGGCTGGGTACGGGAGGCCCAGCTGCTGCTCCCGTGGGGAGAGGCCTCTGGCCACATCCGGGCGCAGATTCACTTGCATCTGCTGTGAGGTAATGTAATCATTGAGGATTGTCTGTCTGGTGTTCTCCATTGCATAAAGCTGGTACTGACTGGGGTACGCTGGGGTTGGGGAGAGCTGTCTCTGAAACAGGTAAGCAGCAGCTGCTGGTGGCAAGAACGAGAGAAAGGCATTTAGTTCAGTCCAGGGGAAATTCATTCACTAAACGCCACCCACAGAAAGAGGTGGGGCTCCTGCTGTTGAGCTACTATGCGCATGCGGCTTTAGTGTGGGTGGGAGGTTACAGGGAGTAAGGGAGATGTATGTCAGACCCTGACACATCAGTGATATGAATACACGCACTCTAATGTCAGATGTAACGGAAAAGGGGGGAGAACCTAGACACAGTGGGAGTATGAACGTTTTCACTGGTAGAACAGGAGCTAAGAAACTTTTCAAGCAGTCGCACTTTCGATCTTTGCCACGTAACTTAATTATAATTTCACCTAAGTCTCCAAGGGCTGCGTTTGAAAATCAAATTATTTTTGTAGTACTGACCACTCAGCACAACCAAATGGAAATACACGTGAACACACTTTGTGACAAATAACCGCTTTTCTGGGGCTGAAAATGATTAGTCTATAAGCATTTAATTAATGCATGTGTTCAGAGCAGAGATGAGCAAACTTATTCTGTAAAAGGCCAGATGGTAAATATCTTACACTTTGTGGACCATATGGTCTGCTTCACCTACTCAACTCTGCCATTGTAGCATGAAAGCTGCCGCAGACACAACACCCACAAACATGTGCCTGTGTTCTACTAAAACTTTATTTACACAAATAGGCAGCAGCAGGATTTGGCCCCCTGGCCATAGTTTGACAACCTGGGTTACAGCATGACATGAGTTGCTAGGAAGGGGTAGGTATGTATGGTAAAAAGGAGAAGGTAACGTCTCTCTGCTCAAAACATTTAAATTCAGCTCAAGCTCAAAAATAATAAGCATATAAAACTGCTATAAAATGAAGGACTACGAGAAGCACTACATTAAAATATACACATTCAATTTTGCCTGAAAACTTGAGTGAACTATTTTAAATATATATGTTTTCCCTAGAAAAACAAATGACAAGTTTTCTGGAATGTTTTCTTCACCTTTCTTCATCCAGAACTCCCAGCAGGGTGAGTCTGTCAGTGGACTCTGTGGGAACTTCTGCCTCAGTTTTGGGAGACAGTCCCTGAAGAACTATGTGCAGACTCCTCTGAAACCTAACGTTCTCCAGTGACCAACAATTTGATGCCATTGATATGGCCTCCAAAAGATAAAATATTTCCCACAGGTACCTTGCTTCCATAATGTAAACAACCCTCAGAAATCTTGGCATATCTCTTCCCTAAGGACCATGGTAAAACACGGGTGTCCTGTGTCCCAATTTCGACTTGAAGGATGTAACAAACAAGCCAGTTAGGCCGGAGAAGAGGTACGAGCGGAAAACACCCATCTGAGTAGGGCTCAGCGGCAAGAGGGACAAGGACGGAGATGGGGAGGACGGGGGCTGGCACATGGAGGATCAAGTCACCACCAATGTGCTGACAGGACTCCTTTCCCTCTGCAGAACCCACTGCCCCGTGCCCACGGCAGACTGCTCTCCAGAAAACCTACAGACTCCTGCACCGCCAAGAAGTATGTCTACCCACAGTCAGAGGGCTCTGTCTGTTCGAAAGTTCCCTCCAGTTGTACCTGCTACTGTAATTATGTAACTTAACAAAGTAATCTGGAGGCTGGTGAGAAAAGAATGAAAAGAATGGTTTCTCTGGAAACTAAGCTGACTGCTTTGGAAAGACTCAATATAGAAGCTGAATCAGGTATGGATGAGACAATTTTGAAAGACTAAGAAAAAAAATCTGGAAGGATTCTGTATTTAAATTGCTTTGAAGTGGCTTTAAATTCTAGCTTCACTTAAAAAAGGAAACCTGGAATGAAATGTGAGTTTCACTTATGTAACAAAGACAAGGGAGAGATTGCATCAGTAGACCCTGACCTTACATCAGAACACTGATAAAATGAATACTGACACTGTAAGTTTGAATGTTTAACCTATTTTTTTTTTCTCAGTTCTGTAAGGGTGCTGGTAATATTTTGTTTCTTGACTCAGAATGGGTAACATGGGGGTGTGCAGTGTGTGAGAATTCAATGAGCGGCACACTAATGATATATGTAACAGTCTGCATATTATACTTTAATAAATAAAGAGAGTTTGGAAGGTCATCCAGGTATATTATTTCTTTGCCATAAATCATCACTACCCCCTGTGCTTACCAGGATCCAGAGCCCTGTGAAACGGCATGGCTGGATCCAAATGTGTGGGAAGATGGCTCCGATAAACCTCTCCTGTGGTGCTGCCCCTATGGTGGGGATCAAAAGGGCTGTGGCTTACTACAGGGTCCACCCCAGGTACTGGAGACTTTGCTGGTATACTTTCCCTCTGGGTAGGGGTCAGGGTTGATTTTCTTTCATGATTAGTAGACTTGCTAGAGGAAATCGTAACTGGAAAAAAAAAAAAAGCCAACACCACAACTTCTTAAGAAAACTTGGGAAGTAAGATTATACAGCTGACCCTTGAACAACACAGGGTTTAGGGGCGTCGACCCTCCACACAGTCAAAACTCCATGCTCAACTTTTGACTCGCCCAAAGCTAATAGCCTACTATTGACCAGGAAGGCTTACTGAGAACATAAACAGCCAATTAGCACATATTTTGTATGTTATATGTATTATATCCTATATTCTTACAATAAAGTAAGCTAGAGACAAAATGTTAAGAAAATTTTAAGAGAGGGACACCTGGGTGGCTCAGCCGGTTGAGCATCCGACTCTTGATTTTAGCTCAGGTCATGATTTCAGGGTTGTGAGATCAAGCCCTGCACTGGGCTCTGCACTCAGCGAGGAGTCTGCTCATATCTTTCTCTCCCTCTGTCCCTTCCCCAACTCATGTGCACGTGCTCTCTCTCTAAAAAAAAATAAATCTTAAAAAAAAAAACTGTAAGAGAAAAATACATTTATAGCACTGTACTGTATTTATTTAAAAAAAAAATCCACATTAACTGGACCTGCACAGTTCAAACCAGTGTTGTTCAAGGGTCAACTGTATTTATCCATTTCTCATCCAACCAAATACAGACTGTATTTATATTTTTATCTGCTTCCACCAAACATTTAATATTCAATCTTGTAAAATATGCAACTGTGAAGAACTAGCAGAAGCTTCTGAGATTGAGAGATTACCACCTTGTGGATCATAGCACCAGCATTTTAGCACCTAACGTTAAGATTAAACACGAAGTTCAACACTCCTCTTTAAATCCCATTATAAATGATTTTGTTTTCTGTATGACTTGAACATTCCAAATTCTTCTCGATCCCCCACGTACCCAAGTCACAAGTCCCTCTCTGCCTGTGCCGCCCCCTCTTTGCTGCCCGCCAGTCTCTACCTGATGCTATTTTTCCTTGCCCTGGACTTCCACAAAGCCTTTCTCATGAGCTCACCCACATCAACCACCTCCCTACCCCAGGCTCTCTTTTTTAAACGATGTGATTCAGAAGTTATTAGATCATCCCCCCCAATGAACAGCATATCCCGACACTTACTAGCCATCACCCTCCACTGTTTTAACAATTGTAGTACAACACACAAAACATAAAAGGTACCATTTTAAAGGGTACGATTCAGGGGCATTAATACACTCAGTGGTGTGCACCACCTCCTCATTATTAGTAGTTTGATAACATCAACTTGGCCGTGATTACACAAATCTGCCAGACAAAACCAAGCAACCACGCGGGTCTGCTGCATCACCTCCCGAGCACCAGTATGCTCGAACACGGAGGGCCTTTTCCCTCGGTAGGCAATTCGCCTTCAGAACCCGAGCCCGGGGCTCTGCATTCGCCACCCCACCTCCCCGAGCGACCCTTCCCTTTCCTCTTCCTTCCAGGCTGCTCCTCTCCCGCCACACAAAACACTCTTCACCTTCCCAGCTCTCGCAGCGTCAGCCGGAACCTTGCACGTGAGCCCGCAATAAACACGTACTGCAATAACGCTGGAGAGGACGAGTGGGGACGTTCGTATGGGCTGCAGGCGGTTTCAGGGACCACCTGATAAAACTCAACGCCTCGTACCTTACGCACCGGCGAGCAGCAGAAAGCCCAGGGAGGCGGGGCGTGATACCAACAACAACAGCAACGGCAATGACAATAGTTCGGATTCTCTCCTTCCCAAGTCCTTCAAACACATGACCTCATGTAACCTTCCCAACAGTCCAGCGAGGGAAGCCTTCATACTTTTACTGATGAGGAAACTAAGGCCTAGCAAAGTGAAATAACTCGTCCAAGGTCCCGCAGTGAGAAGAACCTTAATTCGAGTTCAGGCAGTCTTGCTCCACAACCTGAACTTTCAACGGCCACACCAGACGGCCGCTAAACAAACAACGGTCAACGCTGACTTCCAGAACACCCTGAAGGAGTAGCTGAAAGGCCACTCTCAGAATGTCCTTGTTCTAGAGCACTTCTGGACTCCAGCATCCTTGGCACTTGATTAAAATAGATCTTTTACCTATGATTAGCCCTACTTTTCATTTGGTAGCCTTCCATACAGGCCCCATATCAAGCACAACCTGCAGATCCTGTGGCAATCCAAAGCTAACCATTTGACACCGACTTTTTACCGGAGGTGGGAAAGCGCAATCACAACGAGCAAACAAGGACAGAAGAGTAACATACCATCAGAAGTTCTGTTCATCATAGGCGAGCCTCTGGACATGGTGTTTTGATAACTCACAGGGGTCCGCCGTGCACTACTGTCGTCATAAATCCCCGGGCTCAGCTGCGCTTTGGGAGCTTCATGAAGTGTTGACCTAAGGACGGAGGGGCCAGAGCTTACCACCGATGTGTGTCGGGAACGCACTGGCTCGCCTGCTTTCACATCCTCATATTTTCCCCGTTCTACCACTTTTATGTTCTCTGGTACGATTTCCAGTGGAGGCATTCCACGGGGTAGTTTGTTAGGCCCCGTGATTAAGGATTTGACGTTGTGTTTGATGGCAGATTGACCTGAGTTGCTGTCAAACTTTATTGGTGTGCCCTAAAAGAAAAGAAACAAACATTATAGGTAGCCCGAGGCATCTGAAGATTTTTCCATCTCAGGTCAGCTTGGCTCACGGCAACGGTAATTTGCTTCGGTAATCTTTACTATCTGTGTGGGTGTGTCAATCACACACAAACCCAGAGCTGCGAACTTTCTTGAAATATACATTCCACAATACAGACATGTGAAAAACGAATACTAAAGCATACCTAAAACTTTTATCTTTACTTCCAAAAGATCTGACATCGTAAGAACTACTTATAATTATTAAGTCATGCTTCTCAAAATGCTCCATGAATATCACAGTCTGGAGTGGAAAGGTTGACAAAAAGCACCCTGATGTAGTTACCTGGGAGATGGAACCTTCGATTATTGGCCTTGTGCTCTGGACCACTTCTGGAGTTTTTCGGCTTTCCTGAGTTAAAATATCTTGGCGTGGAATCTCATGAATGGAACGCCCCATTTCTTTGATGGTGGTAATGCCGTCATATGGTTTTCCTTTGGTGATGGCGCCTTCAAATGCTCGCATGGGAGGACTCTCCCTTTTAATCTGTTTGGGGTACTTAAGACCGTCTTCGAAACTGTCCGTTGTTGCTCTTGGTGTGCCTTCGAGAAAGAATTCAAGAAAATGTGCTTATTAAAGTAATGCCAATGGTTGCAGAACAATGTGACTGAGCTGTACATTTAAAAATTGTTAAAATAGTAAATCCTGATATGTATATTTTTCCACAATTTAGAAAAATTAATACCTTGTCATCTTGCAGTTTTTAATCAATTTTCTGTTTACAACACATCTTTAAATATTCATAAGTCGTCATTTTTTTCAGGTGGTTCAAGACTTAATACAATTAAGTCTGTGCATCACAATCAGAGAATGGTTCTTACATAATGAAGATGTCTCTATATTCAAAGATTAGGCAACTATCATCTTCATATAAACTATGTAGCTCAGAAACAGAAGAGTTAAAATCAAGACTTAAATATCTAATATTTCAAAAGGGAAAGTACTTGAAAAGCAGGCTTCATGCACTGCAAATTAATGTTTAACTACTCTGCCAATGAGGCAGTCATGAATAAAAGCCAAAACAAAGTTTACCCTGCATTATGGAACCAGACAGCACAGTCCTTTCTTTGAGGTCAGAATGAGGGCTCCCCCTGGGTAATGCTCGGCATATCAGCCCTTTCAAAACAAGAAAGCAATTTAAATATTAAACATAATGTGTATGCCAGTTCACATATACTTTATACTGACCTTAGAGTATGCACTTTTTGATAAAAGCCCTATGGAGAAAGAGATACCATCTTAAATTTGTGAACTATTCAGAAGAATATCATGGAAAAACTAAAAGTTTGAAGTACCCAACATGACATCATTGTTCCTTTTTAAACAGTCTTCTAAAGAGAAAATAGCGACAGAACACATCTATTATAAATCAAAAAGGAAAGACACTTTCGAAACTACATCTAAAATTCAATGCTTCTTTCTCAAGGTGAGGAGACACACAGAGGGGTTGAGAATCACTGTTTAGCTCTGAAACACACCTCTGAGAAAGGGAAAACACGAAGGATGAGTGCGGTACCTCAAAAACAGGTAAAACACATAAACGAAAACATGCAAGTCATAATGAAAGAGCTGAAAATAACCTCTTAAAATGTTTCACGTCACTCTCTTGCTTACTCTCTCTCTCAAATAAAATCTTAAAAATAAAATAAAACAGAATAAAATAAAAGTGATTCTACTACATCACAATAAATTTGAATCAAGGATTGGAAATAACCACACGCAATTACCCTAAAGTAAAGGGAAGTGAGATTTTTTTAAAAAAAATACAGAGAAAATCCAGCTCTTAGAAAATTACGCAGGACTTCTAAGATTGAGGAATCCTTACCCTGTTTTTAGTATTTCACCTAGATTAACATTAAACAGTTGAGCCAGGTTAAGGCTTAGAGAAAGTGAGTCATTAACAAAATAAAACTACAGGTATGAGGTAGTGAATGCTTATCGTGGTCAGCACAAGCTTGGACACCTGTCTCGAGTCCTCACACTGTAACTACAATCCCTTCATTTACAGAGGATGAAACTCGCACAGCAAAATTCATCAGGAAACAGTGTAGCCCTGCTTTAACTGCCTCAAAACAAAAACAAAGTTCTCAAAATGAATTTTACATTTTTCAACTCACTTAACCCTAACAGGAACAGTCTACAAATTTTATGAGCATTCTACTAGTTACCTATGATATGACCGATTATGTTTAATTTTTACTTCCTACCACTGTCATGTACTTGATTTATATGTAGATATGAATATAAATTTAAACATATCAATAAGCTCATATTAATAGTGTTAATTATTTTACTATATATATTATTAATATAATGATATATTAATATAAGTTTCATTTATATAGTAATACGAATATAAATTTCACATAGAAATGACAGAGACTGAATACAACCTAACCCAACCATGGAAATTTACTGTACAAAATTAAATGTATCTAAATAAAGTTCTGGAAACAACATTTTACCCTCCAACGGTGCTGAAACAGGAGACTCCCTCATCGACAACCCTTGCTTTATATTTCCTTCCACTGATTCATAGCTTCTTTTTAAACTGATTTCATGAGCTGTTCTTGGACTCCTCGTCCCTTCTCGGGCATTTTTAATATCTGCAGAACACAGAAATAAGAATTGCTCAGACAGAGCCCAAAGCCTACTCTACAGTCAATCAGTTATCTTAAGTTTCATAGTCTATCTTACAAAAAATAATAATATAAAAGCCAGTCAACCTACAACATACTACTGTGTAACTGATACTTATGAAATTTTTTTCATTAATTCAAATTATTTGAGTGCCAGGCATTAATAAGTTAGGCTTGCAGATAAGGTTAACAAATTAAGTGCCTTCCTTCATGAAACCTACCCAATCGTGGCAAATACCGATAAAGTGCTAGGGAATTTCTGTAGAAGTACACGTACTGCGAGAGTGCCAGACGGAGAACCTAACACTTTTATTAAAGGGCCCCGAAAAGGCTGCCTACAGAAGTAATGTAGACTGAGAACTGAAGGATAAGGCGGAGACGCTTAAGCCACAGGTAAGGGAGGAGGAGGTGTGGTACAGGCACACAGACGCCAAGGCGAGACAGAGTGTGGGACAAAGAACTTGAGCTCAGTGCGTGGCCAGCGTGCAGAGCGGAGCTGGAGGCAGAGTGCACGGGAAGGCAGTGCAAGGGGGCCGAGGGAAACGTAGGAAGGGAACAGCAGGACAGGAGCAGATCATGGAGGGCGGAGCAAGCCAAGGTAAGGGGCTTACACTGATCTTAAAGCAATGAACAGTCAAGCAGGAAGTGATGTGTTACAGTTCTGAATACGGGTGGGTTATGACTAAAGGTGGGGAGATCAGGGGCAGCTGCCCGGTTATCCGGATGAAAGACGATGGTGGCGGTGGGGAACACAGAGAAATGGATGGATTCCAGAGAATTCAGAAAAGAGAACAGAAACAACTCAGTGACTGACTGGATGTGGAAACAGAACAAGTGTTAAAGATGACATCTACATTTCTGGCTTAGGCAATGTACATTAATTTCTTCCTCCAGAAGCAAAATGTAAATCAGCATATGCCAGAAATGTTAAAACAAGAAAGGAGGAAGGAAATAAGAAAGTTACCATGTGTTTTGCATCAGACACTGTGTGCTCACATACCTTATATCTTTGTATCAAACAAAGATAAAACATGACTAATGACTACTTAGATCACAAAACAGTTGCAAACAGGAACTCAAATCCAGTCCCCTCACTTGGCTTTTTTTTTTTTTTTAACCATAACTGAGTCATTCTTGTAACATTAATGAGAAAATATAACCTAAGAATACATCTAAAGAAAATGCTTACACACATAGACATTAAAATAATTTAAATTAAGAATTTAAATTCAATAGTCTTTCCAGGATTATCAGATTATTATCTACTCGCTAATTCACCTGGGGTGCCTGGGTGGCTCAGTCGGTTAAGCATCTGCCTTTGGCTCAGGTCATGATCCCAGGGTCCTGGGATCCAGCCCCACATTGGGCTCCCTGCTCAGCGGGGAGTCTGCTTCTCCCTCTGCCTCTGCCCCTCCCCCACTCGTGGTCACTCTCTTGCTTGCTCTCTCTCTCAAATAAAATCTTAAAAATAAAATAAAACAGAATAAAATAAAAGTGATTCTACTAAAGTTGAAGATTCTTTTCTTAGGCTAAATCAACTGGCCATAGTTGGATTAGCTACCAATTACAGAACCAGGTACTATGGGCTCTGCACTGTTTATCATTTTTCATTGACCGTCTCAGTTAAATTTTCACAAAACTTCCTCAAGAAGGGAGAACGAACTCCCCCAAATACATATGTGGGGAGCCAGAGCCCATGTTTCTAGTCCCCATCACAGTACTGGCTTCAAAGTACAGACATCATACTTACTATCGTAGGATAAGATGTGTCCACTCTTGCCTTCATAAATAACATGACCTTTGGATGCAGCTTCCTCTCTGCCTTTCTCAGGACTGCTCTCCTCAATGGGCATTCTAGAAATGGATCCCTTCACCAACGCCTCAGTTGGTATGCCAGCCTGTGACAGGGCTGGGGTACCCTGCCATCAAATCAAACACAAACACTCAGGTTTAGAGGAGACACGAGATGCTCAGAAAACTTAACCTACCACACAGAGAGTCAGATCCTTCCACATCTTCAAAGAAGAAAGGACAAAGACATGAGAGGAAACCCAGATATTAAGTTTTTATAAAGAAATACTGTACCTTAATCCTTGAACCCTGCCCCACAAAACTTAAAATCTGGACAGGTGTAGGAGTCAAATCAACTTTCTTTCCCACCTTGAAGTCAAACCTCTTAACTCTCAGGGAAAAAAAAAAAAAAAAAATCTGGTCTTAAAGGCCAAAAATCATGCTAAGTGTAATATGTTTTTTCAAAATGTCTAATAAAAATAAGACGATAAATTAAGTTTTAAATTTAGAATACTGCAACCTTCTGGAAGAATGAAGGGGGGGAAATCGGAGGGGGAGACGAACCATGAGAGACGATGGACTCTGAAAAACAAACTGAGGGTTCTGGAGGGGAGGGGGGTGGGGGGATGGGTTAGCCTGGTGATGGGTATTAAAGAGGGCACGTTCTGCGTGGAGCACTGGATGTTATGCACAAACAATGAATCATGGAACGCTACATCAAAAGCTAATGATGTAATGTATGGTGATTAACATAACAATAAAAAATTTAAAGAATACTGCAACCTTCTCTCACACTGTGATAAGAGGAAAAAAGAACTTGCAGTTCCCAAAGTGTCTGCTGGATTCGACCTCTGGTCACCAGTGGGGGAAGGGGAGACGGGACTGAGAAAACTCAGATGCCTCCATCCTGTGCTATGGATTCAGTTTAGGTCACATCCTCTGAATCTTCACCATCATTAATTAGTCCTCTTCTGGGTTACCTATGGGCACGGTTCTTTTTGACCTTTCCTTTAAGCAGTAAACCCTCCCTTCCAGAGAAATCATTCATGGAACCTACTGGGTCGAACACTTTGTAAGAGTGAGCTGCTTGGGTTGAAATGGGCATGGCAGGCCCACATTTAGCCCACTCACACATTTGGCGTCCCCAAAATTCTCATGAGGACAATCTGAAACCACACACTTAGAGTAGAAAGAATGACAAAAACAAAACATTCATTTTTCGGCCATTCAAATGGGCTTGGCAGTAAACATCTGGGAATCCTTAACACCCATTTTGGAAGTACTCACTTCACATAGACAGACTGGTTTGAAAATAAACAAAGAAAAAGCGTAGCCTCATTTCATCCAGTTCATTCTGTCTTCCTACCCACAACCTGGTTACTAGAGTGAAAATGAACAAGAAAAGATAATATGCATAAGGCATTTATTTCTCTTTTGCCTCTACTATTAAGGTGTTTGCTTATTTTGAAAACTAGTTTCAGGATGTATACTTTGGTCAAATGTAGATGGAGAGATGTGAAGAGTTCACATGTAATCTTCTAGGTCTCTAAGCCATATAACTCCATAAACCAGGTCTTGTTAAAATGGAGACCCTGATTCATAGGTCTGAAGTGGGAACTAAAATTTCTGCATTAATCTAACAAGCTCCCAAGTGATGCTGATGCTCTGGGACACAGACTACACTTGATCAGCGAGGTCCTAGGGCATGCAGCAGAATCACTGGAGGGCAGGAAAACACAGATTGCTGGGCCCCGCCCCCACAGATGAGACTTCAGGAAATCTGGGGTGGGGCCTGACCATTTACATGCCTAATGCTGCTGGCCTGGGAGCCACACTTTAGCCCTTGGCCTAGGGGACAAGGACAAAAGACAAGGAAGAAGAATAAAACAGGAAACTTGTGGTTCAATGTGCAAAAGCACAGGATTCTGTTTACAATGATTTCCCAAAAGAGAATTTTCCTTTCCCAGATCGACAATAATAAAGAGGCTACAAACTGTTACACTTCCAAGTGAAACTAACATCTAACCAACTGAGGAAAAGAAAGACCTTGTCTTAATCAAAACTGGCAATTTATTGAGCCTGAAATTGTTAGAAGATACTTGACTTCCGGCGCTTCTATCAACGTTGCCTGTATCTCCCAGTTTAGCATGAGACCCTAGGCAGGTGCCTTACATGCCGGGACTGCAGACCTTCTTTTTCACAAGGGGCAAAAGTGAGCAAATAATTTATATTGATTTTCTTCTCTGTTTCTATTTGAGCTGAACACATGGTAAAAGCTTTGCCAGGAAGACAGTAAGAACTGCATCAATCAGAACTTGTTTCTTCTGCCAATTTGTAAATCATTAACCTTTTCAAATGACCCACAGACTAGATTATAGCTGGTGGTCAAAATGATCACATTAATGTCTTTCTGCAGACAGTTTACGGATCTGGGTTTATTACCATTGAGACCCAGTCCCATAATCCAGAACAACGAGCAACTTAACCCCAGAACTATACTGCTGGAACAGCTGGAGCTCTTTAGACCTGACTTCCAGTCTTCTCATTAGCTACTGTCCAGTGTATCAGGAATGATCACAACTCACCTGAGTGATCGAGCCCCGCAGGGATGGGATGCCTTCCACGGAAATTTTGCTGGCTGGCGTTCCCCGAGTTATACTTCCTTCTTGAATGGCTCCTGTGGTACCTGAATGAAACCAAAATGATTAGCAAATTACACCTTCTACCACTGCAAACAAACAAAACTCAGTCCCTACTTAGAAGAGGGGTTAAGAGAAGGAAATAGCAGTACAAAAAGAACAGTGGTGTTTTACCGAAATCTACTTTTAAAATAATATTCCAATTATTAAAAAGGATTGCCGAAATATGGAATTTCAAAGTTTTTAATTATTTTTATACAGAAGGGAAAATCTAGAAGGTAAAGGCTCTAACTTAAAAACCCAACATTAAAACGTATTAGTGACTTACTTTAATACATTTATTGGGAACAAAAGTTTAATATTTCTGCCAAACAGCGTATTTTACCTCTGACCACTCCTTCATGTTGTGCCCTGACCAATAAACCTTCAGGCTGTGAGTTTTGGCTTCGGGGAGAAAATTCTTCCTGCTTGATGTAGGGCACAGTAGCTATGGACCAAAGCGAGAAAAATAAGTAGAGATCAAGTGCTGAATTACTGCCCGTGATGCTGCAAGGGCAGGAATGTTTTGAGTATTTACTCACTGACCTGATTTGGCAGATTCCTGTTGCCGCGGCAGTCCAAGAGATATAGAGCCGACTGAGGGCTTAGCTGCTTCTTGAGCGTAGGAAGTCTGATTATGAGAAGTCAAGTAAGTGCCAGGTGTTCCCTAAAAATAATTTTAAAGGACTAAAATAACACTGTCTTCTCACAAGGTCAACAATAAATTTAATGTTCATGTTTCTGTTTATAAGAATTTACACCCCCACTGCCCAAAATTAAGAACAAGTATTTGCAAAGCAAGAAAATCTTTATATAGATTGCTTATATTAAAAATACTTTATTTTTTTTTTGAAAATTTTATTTATTTATTTGACAGAGAGAGACCCAGCAAGATAGGGAACACAAGCAGGGGGAGCGGCAGAGGGAGAAGCAGGCTTCCCCGCGGAGCAGGGAGCCCGATGTAGGGCTCAATCCCAGGACCCTGGGATCATGACCTGAGCCTAAGGCAGACACTGAACGACTACTGAGCCACCCAGGCGCCCCACATTAAAAATATTTTTAAAGGGAACAAGATATGTCTTCTGAAATCACCATAAATTTCATATAACTAATATTTATGGTTAACAAATTACATAAATAAAGCACTTAACAGTACACTCAAAATGTAAGCTACTATTATTAACAATATTTATTCCTCTTAAAATTGCTATAGGATAGGGACATCAGTGAAAACAGCAGAGTAAGGACTTCTGAAAACTCTCTTCCATAAAGGCAACCAGAAAACCACCTAAGAATCAACCTTTCAATTCGGAAATTAACCAAAGGCTTGTGGAAATCTGGGTGCATTTATTCAAGAAGACTGGCAAAATCTAGGTTAAGAAGACTGAGCTTTGTGTCATTTGAACTTGCTCTATTTCCTCTCCCATATGCTCCCCACCAAGCTCACTGGAAGCCTTGAAAATCAACAAAGGAAAGTATGAAAATGATGTTTCCCCATACAAAGAATATCAACAACAACAACAAAAAAACCATGAAGAAATTCTGAAGTTGAAAAGTACAAAAATTAGAGGAAAACAAAAAAACAAACTCTCAGCAAAAAAGAATATAAGGAAGCCTCTTCAATCTGAAGAAAAGACACCTATGAAAAGTCTATAGTTGGGGCGCCTGGGTGGCTCAGTCGTTAAGCATCTGCCTTCAGCTCAGGTCATGATCCCAGGGTCCTGGGATCGAGCCCCACATCGGGCTCCTTGCTCAGCGGGGAGCCTGCTTCTCCCTCTCCCACTCCCCCTGCTTGTGTTCCCTCTCTGGCTGTCTCTCTCTCTGTCAAATAAATAAAAATAAAATCTTTAAAAAAAAAAGTCTATAGTTAACATACCTACCAGTTAAATACTGAATGCCTCCCTCCTAAAATGGGCACCAAGGAAAGCATATCCTCTTCACCCTTGTTTTAAACATTGTACTATGGGGCGCCTGAGTGACTCAGTCGATTAAACATCCGGCTCTTGATTTCGGCTCAGGTCATGATCTCAGGGTTGTGGGATCAAGCCCCACATCAGGCTGATTGAGCCCCATATCAGGTTCCTAGCTCCTCGGTCAGCAGGCAGCCTACTTAAGATTTGCTCTCTCCCTCAAATAAATAAATAAATCTTTAAAAAAAAATTGTACTAAAAGTTCTACCCTAGTCAGTTCAATAAAACAAGAAAAAGAAAAGGCACTAGGGGGGCTCCTGGGTGGCTCAGTCATTAAGCATCTGCCTTTGGCCCAGGTCATGATCCCAGGGTCCTGGGATCAGCCCCGCATCGGGCTCCCTGCTCCACGGGAAGCCTGCTTCTCCCTCTCCCACTCCCCCTGCTTGTGTTCCCTCTCTCGCTGTGTGTCTGTCAAAGAAATAAAATCTTCAAAAAAAAAAAAAAAAGAAAAGGCACTAGGACTGGAAAGGAAGAAGTAAAACTATCTTGATTTGCATATGACACGCTCACATAGAAAATCCTAAGAAATTTACTCTCCTTCCAAAAAAACCCCCAACAAAACAAATAAGAAGCAAATAAGTAATGTTGCAGGAGATAAAGATTAAAAAAAATCAACTTTTTCTATATACCTGTAGAACTGGAAAATGAAAAAATATTTACAAAAACATAAAATACATTACAAATCATCAAATTAACTGAAAATAAATCTAACAAAACCTCTACAGTGAAAACTATGAAATACTGTTGAGAAATTAAAGACCTAAATTAATGGAAATATAAACATGTTCATGGATTAGAAGACTCAACATTCTTTTTTTTTAAGATTTTATTTATTTATTTGACAGACACAGCGAGAGAGGGAACACAAGCAGGGGGAGTGGGAGAAGGAGAAGCAGGCTTCCCGCGGAGCAGGGAGCCCGATGCGGGGCTCGATCCCAGGACTCCTGGACCACGACCTAAGCCGAAGGTAGATGCTTAACCACTGAGCCACCCAGGCGCCCAGAAGATTCAACATTCTTAAGATCTTCATTTCTAACCCAAAATAATCTATAAATTTAATGCAATCCTTTACCATAATCCCAGGACAATTTTTGTTAGAAACTGACATTTATAATTTATATGGAAATGCCAAAGTCATAGAAGAGCCAAAGCAATCTTGAAAAATAAAAGCCCTTACAGGACTCCTACCACATGATTTCAAGACTTACCATAAAGCTACAATAATCACAACTGTGGTGGTGATAAAAGTATGGGCAAGTAGATCAACTGAACAGAAGAGAAAGTCCAGAAATAGACCAAACATAGAGCCAAATCATTTCTGACAAAGGCACTAAAGTGATCAAATCAGAGAAAGAAAAGACTTTTTAACCGGTGTTCCTGGAACTGCAAATCCAAAAGGATAAATGAATGCTGATCCTGACCTCACGTTGCACATAAAAATTAATTTCACGTGGATCACAGACCTAAATGTAAAAGCCCAAGCTATAAAGCTTTCAGAAGAAAAAGCAAGAATATTTCCACAAGCATGAAACAAAGATTTCTTAGAGAAAAAGAATTAACCATAGGAGAAAAAAAAATTTATATAAGGACTTCATCAAAATTTAAAATTTCTGCTCATCAAAACACAGCAGTAACAAAACACACAAGCCACAAAAAAGAGAAAATATTTTAATATATAACAGAGACCTTTCATCCATAATAAAGAACTTCTACAATCTACTAACCAAAAAAAACCCAATAAAAACAGATAATAAGACAGTTACTTCGCAATCAGTCGTATAAATGACCACTAAGCATACAAAAAAGTGCTCAGCATCACTTGCTGCCAGGGAAATGCAAACTAAATGCCACAGTGAAATACGACTAAAATAAAAAAGATGGCCAAGAGCAAATGAAGCAACATGAAGGCTTACACATCACGGGTAGCAGTAGACCCACTCTGGGAAATTATAAAGTAAAACACACATATATCTAGCAATTCCTCCCTCAGGGGATTGATTACACAAGAGAAATGAAAACAAATGTCTATAAAGAGCCAGTACAAAAATGTTCATATCAGCTTTATTCACCACAGCCAAAAACTAGAAATAGCTCAGGCTTCCATTAAAGAGAAAACAGATAAACAAACTGGTATGTGTTCGTACAGCATAGTATTCATCAATAAAAAAGAAGGAAATACGGTTACACAAAACCCTGGATGAATCCCTAAAACCATTATGTTAAGTTAAAGAAGACAGACACAGAAGAGTACACACTGTATGAGTTCATTTACATGAAGTTCTAGAAAAGGCAAAACTAATCTGTGCTAATAGGAAGCAAACCAGTGGTTGCTTCAGGCAGAAGGGGCTAAGAAAATCTTCGGAGCTGATGAAATGGTTCTATAACCTGACAGGAGAATGGTCGCTGCTGATCGTGCACATTGGTCAAAACTTTTCAACCATTAAGATAAGGCCATATTAAAATATATATATATGTAGATGTATGTATATAGTAATGCACGGGGGGGGGGGGAGATATAGTGGCCAAAGTCAGAATGAACTGGGGCTTATCAATCATGTACAATTTAATATTTAGAGCCTTCATAATAGTCCACATGTATTTTGGTACTTGAAAAGATTACTCTTCCATCTTCGCTACCCTAAACCTCAGGGCACAAAAGTGCCTTTCCTAAGTCAAACCAGACGGTGTGCTGCGGCCACTCACTTTGGGTACCCAACTCACACAAACTTCCTGTGTGCGGCACAGAGTACAATGACTGCCATATTTTCTGGTCACCGTCTCTTCACATACAGACAAACTTGTATTTATTAAGATGCTGACAAATTAGGGACAGAAAAGGGAGAACTTTTACCAAAGCAATACTCAACAGAAATTTCCTGGGCAGGGAAGACATTTTACCTGTGAGATGGAGCCTCCCAGGATAAAAGATGGTTTTTCTGAAGCCACTGTGGTTTTGGATGATGGGATGAGAGGAGGAGGTGGCCTGGTGGGTCGAGTTGTCGGAAGCCGAACCGCTTCAGGGAGATTAGTTATCACTTGATGCGGAGCAGGTTGCAGGACTTTGAAGGGGAGGGGAAAAAATGATTTAAAATCGGCAATTTCATAGCTTGCAACACTCTACCTATCTCAGTCATTCCCAAATTTTCATATCACACACTGAATTTTAAGTGCAAGATGAGGCTGAGGAGGAACATTTCTATTTTGAATTTCTCTTTCACTTGAATTAAATCCATATACATATTCAGGTCACACGTGGTATTTGTGAGGCTGAAATATTCAACTCCCTGTGAAGCCAGAGCTTTTAAGCTGATGTTCATTTCAAACTATCTCTGCTTAGCATAGGCAAATGACAATCTTTCACAATCTTTTCTCTCTCTCCATCACTCTTTGGACCTGCTTCTTAGGAGCAGCTGATACTTCCAACTCTGGAGAACGCACAGACATGGCCGACCACCAGCTGGACACCCTTTCTACATCTTGCCTACTTGGAGAAACGTTTACTGATCCTGGCTCTCACAGACTTGAATTTCTTGTGGTCGGGGAGGGGACCTAAAGATTTTTTCAAAGTCCATGTACCCTTAAAAGCCAGTCAGTGTCACAGTATACATGTGTGAACACGAATTTCCCAGTGGCCCAGTAAAGCTCAACTGAATACAACAGACAATGGGATGCACAGAAACAAGAAAATAATTCTGAAACAGGAAGGACATGTCTGGGAAAGGCAGTTTGTTCACGAGCTCAAACCACCCGAGTCTAGCATCTGTAGGAGATGGCCAGCAGCCACCGCACAGAGGAACAATATTTACCTGGCGGGACACTATAGCGGGCTGCACTCATATCAGGCTGTGGAGCGGCTTTACTGACTTCTCTCGGAGAGAGCCTACACGGTGAGGCTGACCTTGCTGCGGGACTGTGCATCTGTGCTTCCTGTTCTAGAGCACGTTTGACCTCAGCATAAGGCATATAGGCGACTGATTTTCCTATGAAAGTTAAAGTTATCAAAATAAGGGAAGAACCCCAAATTAAAATAGTAAGTGTGAAAGGACCAAGCCCACACCATCCAGGGGCAGATCCGACTACATATACTAATATTAAAATCTAAAATTCCTTCAAAAACTAATGATGTAATGTATGGTGATTAACATAACAATAAAAAATTATTAAAAAAAAAATCTAAAATTCCTGTGGGGGGAGGGGAGTCCACCCACAGAGAGGTTTAAAAACCCTATACATCTAAATCTTCTGTGTATGCACCATCACTATGACCTAATAAAACCCTCAAAACTTCAATTATGATGTTTCCCTTTAAAGGAAAAAGAACATCTCTTTCTTCTTCTTAGGAAAATCAAGTGTTTTCACATGCAATAAAGATCACAAGAGGCAAACATCAGATTATCCAGCCATTTGGAAAATGCAAGTCTTGCTTGAGTCAGTCATATCTCTGAGAATTTCAACCCTTATATTTAGCCTGTTGAAACACACCACTTAATTTTCAGAGAAATAAACATAATTAAGAAATGGAAGAAGCCCATCGGGCTCCTGCTCCTTGGGAGCCTGCTTCTCCCTCTGCCACTCTCTCTCTGTCTCTCATGAATAAATAAATAAAATCTTTAAAAAAAAAAAAAAGGGCGCCTGGGTGGCTCAGATGGTTAAGCGTCTGCCTTCGGCTCAGGTCATGATTCCAGGGTCCTAGGATCGAGTCCCACATCGGGCTCCCTGCTCCTTGGGAGCCTGCTTCTCCCTCTGCCTCTCTCTCTCTCTCTGTGTCTCCCATGAATAAATAAATAAAATCTTTAAAAAAAAAAAAATGGAAGAAGCCTTTCTTAGAAGATGCAGATCAAACTAATCCAAAAAAACCTACACAAGCTTATAAAACTATGAATTTTACTACCAGAATGCTAATAAAAATTACTCCAAGGGCACCTGGGTGGCCAGTCATTAAGTGTCTGCCTTCAGCTCAGGTCATGATCCCAGGGTCCTGGGATGGAGCCCCACATCGGGCTCCCTGCTCACTGAGGAGCTTGCTTCTCCCTCTACCACTCCCCCTGCCTGTGTTCCCTCTCTCCCTGTGTATCTCTCTGTCAAATAAATAAATAAAATCTTGAAAAAAAAATTACTCCATATAATTTACCTCCACATAAAGTATAAAAAAACTTATTTAAAGGGCATATCAGATATGCAGTCACATTAAGACTTAAAAATACATATAATTATATATATTATATAATTTTTTTCCTTTTTAAAATGAAATTGACATTATAATTTTGGAAAATCAGAAAAGCACAAAGAGGAAAAGGAAAATCATCTGTAACCCAAACCACTTAAATGTGGGCTATTTTAATGTCTGACAGAGCAAATTCCCATTCATTTTCTTATTCTTTTGCTTACCTAGTCTTATCCATTTATTCTTCCAGATAAATCAAAATCTAAAATCATTCTCCAAACAAGATGTCACTGCAATTTTCATTAGACTTGCATTAAATTTGTGAATACAAGACACCTGATGCTCTATAATAATGAGCTTTCTAACCGAGGAACCTAGACTTTTTCGTATAGGTCTTATTTATAAATTCCTTGTTAAAAATTACTTGTAGGTATTTTACATTTTGTGGCTAGGAAAGCCATCTTTTTCATATGCATGAGTTTACTTGTATAAATGATTACTGCAGATCTATAGGAAAGAAAGATGGGGATTTCTGTAGACCCTTTTTTTTTCCTGAGAAACTTGATGAACTTTCCTTTTTGTTCTAATCACTTTTCAGTCGGTTCTTGTAGGCTTTCTAGGTGGATAATCTTCTCCAGTGAACAATGATTTATCTTCTCCCTTGAAAAAGCTACTTCTATTTTTGTTTCTTTTTTTCTTTACTGCACAACAGTAAGTAATAGCTGGCACCTGACAGTTTCTATCCCGAGAGAAGGTCTCTAGCATCTCACTATTAAGTGGAAGGTTTGTAATCGGGTAAAGATTCATTAGCACAAGGCATAAATAGTTCTCCAGCTTACTCAGGTATTTTTAAAAACCAGAAACAATTCTAGTGATACCAGCTAGTATGATGTACTCCGTGCAGAGCACTGTGAATCACATGAATTATCTCACTGAGCCCTCATGCCCCATGGGATGATTAACACCATTTCATAGATGAGGAAACTGAACCTCAAAAGAATCACACCATAGTGCCCAGCCAAGGTCACGCTACCAGCAGTGTAAGCCTGACTCTGAGCTCGAAACCACGTGGCAATAATGTCTCACTAAAGCACTGGGCATTGAATTTCAGATGCCTGTGGGGTATCCGTCAAGAGGATGGTACTCTTCCCTCCTTAGACACATTGATATAATGAATTAGATTAAATGTCCCAATGCTGTGCTGATTTATAAAATAAACCAAAAGAAAATCATGTCTTCCTTTCTAGAGAATTTAACATGGTAAAGCTATTATTATAAATTCTGTGTGACTGTTTTACCATTTCCAGTAAGTTTCTAATAACGTGGAAACTATCTTGTCAAGGTAGTGTTAAAGAAAAAGCAGAAATTTAGATGGTTCTAAATACAGGTATTTAAGTCTTCATGTACTCAGAGGTGAAAAAATAAACAACAAAATAAACAGACTAGATTCAGTTGCAGAGAAGCATTAACTCTTAATTGGACTGAACTGATTCTGTTAAACCTGCATTGCAAGTTCAATTCTAACTCTCTACATGCGTACGTTTGAGTTTCCTCACTCCAGAAAAAAAGGATTCACGCTGAAGTAGGGGTTACCTTGTGTAAATGCTCCTGGAAAGTGAAAACAACTGTTCTCTCAGGTTTTTCCCAAGTGTTTCTACAGATGTAAAGGCTTACACCACTTAAAAAGGGTACACCTACAATAATTATTTCTGCCACTAACATTACAATGAATACAATCAAACACATGCTGCCTGTTACTTTCTAAATGAGACCATGAAGGAAAAAGTCAAAACCATGGTCCTAATTCAAGCAAACTGTACCAGTTGGGTGACAGTTTATAGGTAAATCCACATTCTCACTATATTTAACATTCTATGGCAATGCGTTGAAAACATTTGTATCAAACATTCTGCATACAAGCAATTTAATGGCAAGTATATGATTATACAAGGGAGATGTGTAAGTATAAGGGAAATTATCCTTTATACTGAACTAGCTATAAATTCAGGAGAGTCTTCAGGCACTTCGTTAAATAACTACACATACTAGATGAGCTAAAACAGAACTTAATCTTGAGATAAAATGTAATCAACCACCCCAGTTTCTGGAGTCACATTGAACCAAAATGATGTCGTATTAATAAACACCTCAGTATCACATTAATAAAAAATATAATTACAGTATGGTTTTAAAACCACTGCATTATGATTAAAATTAGGATACCACTCTCATCTAAACCACATGGATTAATGTGACTGACCGCAGAGAAATGTAGTTCATTTTTTAGAGGCTCAGAATTTGGGCTCTAGTCTGATTCAGTCTCTCCAGCTTCCAAAGTAATTTAGATCAAGATCGTAAAGTAGATCAAGAAAAGATACTGAGGTCCTTGCGGCTCCTGGGTGGCTCAGTCGTTAAGCATCTGCCTTTGGCTCAGGTCATGATCCTAGGGTCCTGGGATTGAGCCCTGCATTGGGCTCCCTGCTTGGCGGGAAGCCTGCTTCTCCCTCTCCCAATCCCCCTGCTTGTGTTCCTGCTCTCACTAACTCCTTCTGTCAAATAAATAAATAAAATCTTAAAAAATCTTAATAAAAATAATAATAAATAATAAATATAATAAATAAAAATAAATAATATAAATGAATAAAAATAAAAAATCTTAAAGATATTGAGGTCCTAAAATAATAATGTGATATGCATATTATAGAACGATCCAGATATTATTAACTAAATAATGTTCAGCTTTAGCATGACTCTGGCAAATACCATTTGAATGTCATTTTTTTCTAGGTTTTAATTCTTCCCCCAACATTTATTCTAAATCATTTATGTAGGGAATACATCAACACACTTTTAAATTACTCTATAATTTATCATTCTCATCATGACAGATTTTCTCATAATTGGACTGCTCAAAAGACAAGTGCTTCTGCTAAGTCCATTTATACTCCATTTAACTCATTCTTTCAACATGTAATTACTGAGCACAAACTGCGTCAATTACTGAGTTAGCAACTGAGGATTCTAAATACTAAATACTAAAAGCTCCCAAATCATCAACGTTTTTACCTTCATTCAAGAAATATTCATTGGGATGCCTGGGTGGCTCAGTCGGTTGAGCATCTCCCTTTGGCTCAGGTCATGATCCTGAGTTCCTGGGATCGAGTCCCACATTAGGCTTCCCGCTCGGGGAGGCCTGCTTCTCCCTCTCCCTTTTCCTCTACCTGCCGCCCCCCCCCCCCCGTTTGTGCTCTCTCTCTCTCTCTGATAAACAAATAAATAAAATCTTTAAAAAAAAAAAAAAACTAATGATGTAATTATGGTGATTAACATAACAATAAAAAAAGTTTGAAAGAAAGAAAGATTCATTTAGCACCTATTATATCCCCAGCCTTGCTGGGTATTACTACTCTGGTTCATATTTTTACTAGCATAAGATTTATACTTAAAACACCAGCAATTTTATGTTTAAAACTCTAACATAAGAGGTTCAGTGTGTCATATAATAACTCATCACTGGTATAACTGGGTGTAACTGGGGGAGGGGAGGGTGGTCAAGATCCGTAAGTACCAGAGTTCCTATTTTATACTAAATAGCCCTTGAAATGCATGACATTCTACAGCTCACTGTTCTTACTTATCTAAGGCTCTGCAAAGTCCTTTGAATCATTACCAAGAAACCTAAACCATAGTAACGAAGACCTTATAGTCTTATATTCTAAGCATATTGTAGCATAAGTCAACCAACCATCAACCAGAACACATGTGCCATTTCCTAACCATGCCAGAAGAATTTATTACAATTTAGAAGTCACCCCCCACCCTTTAAAAGAAACTGAGTGTATCATGCACAACTAAAAAGAACATGCACAGAGGGGCCTGGCTGCCTCAGTAGGTGGAGTGTGGGAGTCTTGATCTCAGGGTTGTGGGTTCAAGCCCCATGTTGGGTGTAGAGATTACTTAAAAATAAAAAAATCTAAAAAAAAAAAAAAGAGCACGTACAACTCGAATTTGTCACTTGAAATAACAACAGTGACATAACATAACAATGATAACAGTACCTTTGTGGTATCTATTATACTATGTATATGCTGGTACACTAATTATTATTATAAATTGTATCTGTATTACATATAATATTATGTAAAGAATAACGCTGAGCCATGTGTTACAAAATGATACTGAATGCTGATTCTTTTTTATGGGTTGTAATCTCAGTAAGAAAGAAATACAGACAGACAGACAGATTAGATAGATGGATCGATCTATAACTTGCAATTTACAGATGAGAGAACTAAAGTCAGAAAAGTTACGGGACTTGTCCCTGGCCACACAAGTGGTGAAGGCTGGGGTGAGGGCTGCGTCAGGGTACGACTGACACTATACACCAAGTTGTCTCCCATCATATCAGAGAATGAGTATTACCCTGTTGTTACATGTGATATGCTTGGAGGACAGGATAACAATTCTCACTCTGAAAAGTCAGATGAATGGAGCAGAAAGCATGGCTTTTACAGTCTTCCAGCAGAGAGAGAAATATCAGAAAACTCGTATTAACAAAAACCATTACAAATGTTACTGCCGCCTGTGAGTAGTCAATGATAGTAACATTCCTCAAAAGTTGAACTGAGGTCAGTTTAAAGGAATTTTGTGTTGGGGACAAGAGGAATTAATCACCTGACATGCAGATAAACTACAAAGCACAAAGGACACTACTTTGGAGTATAGTTGTGTGTCCCTTCAGAGAAGTTCTTTGCGGTGACAGCTCTACCTACCTTCCCACTCTCTGTTTGGACTCTTGGCGGTGCCACAGGGACTTGTAGAACTTCTACATTCCAGATCTATCTGTTCTTGCCTCTGCCGCTGTTCTTCCAGGAGTGCGGACTCATGCATTGCTTTAATGTGTCGCTGGTAGAGGGCATACCCGCTCACTGGGGTTCCAATCGGTATATTACATGGGGTACAGGAAACCTACAGGAAGAAAAAATCTAAATACGCCAATGACCAACATAACAACGACCCTCTGTTACAAATAATGCTTATTTCTGGAACGTACTGGTGGATGTGATTTTGCCACTTTTTGATTAAAGTAATCTTCAGTTACAAAAGGCTTAAAGTGCTGAACATTTACTTTCAGAACTGAACACAATATAAATCACATAAGAGAGATCAAAATCAGAAATTAAAACACTGCTGTCTGCTTTTAACTTCCAGATGGTCAAACCCCTGGTGGCTCAGCCCTGGCTCCTAGCCCTCCTCTCTAGGTTCTCTAGATAATCACACCCACTTCTGTGCATTTAAATGTCATCTACATGTTAATGGCTCTTCAATTTCTATTTCTAAGACGTTTGCTCCAAGTCCCATACTCACAGAATGGCTGCTTAACAGCTCCACTTGGGCATCTCAAAGCACCCCAAAACTTGCATTTAACGGGAACTCTTCATTTCCTACATTCAATGCTTCTCCTTCAGTGACCTCCCTCTTAGGAAACGGAACCTTAACAGCTTAAGCCAGAAACCTGGCAGACATCCTTGACCGATCCGCCTTACCTCCCACAACCAACTCACACAACAGGATGGGTGTTAAATGTTCCGTCTTCAGACAGGCCATCCCTAACCGTCCCTTCCCATTTTCCTCCTTACAGCAGCCCTGTTTCTTTCTTTCAGGGTACACAACGCTTACAATAGCACAATTCACAATAATAGGGCTGGTTTTTCTGTTTGTTTATTTTCTGTCTCTCTCACTCAGGAAGGAAAGAACCCAACCTATTTGGTTCAATACTAAATAAACAGCCCCTAACACAGTCCATTACTTCATGAATACAAAAAATTCTGGGAAAGAGTAGAGCTCTGAGTTTTTTAGAACCTATTATCTAAATAAAGACTTCCACAGTTTTTTTCCGCTACTGTAAGTAGAATTTTTCACTGAGCCCAAAACATACACATAATTTTCTTGCCCTCGTGCTTTGGCTTTTATGTAAACATGGCTCTTCCTCCTGTTGCCATAAAGCCAAATGAACTGTTTTGTTCCAAAAAATATTATTTCCTATGTGCAGTCTTCTTTAGTTGTCTTATTAAGAAGGAAGCTCTCCTTCCTCTGAAATGACCATACTACATTTTTTAACTTAACAAAGCAACACATTTTTATAATTCATTTTCACTTTATTATAGTATTTTTCTAAGTCTTTTTATCAAGAACAATCTCTATGTTTTTTGAAGTCAGAGATTATGATATATAAATATTCCATACAGCATTAACAATGTTGTCTTGAACTGGGCAGACACTTAAAAAAAGTCCATTTGAGTAAATCAATGAAGGAACAAATGTTTAATGATTTTTTTGTATGTGAGTCCATCATAAGCACATACTTAACTTTTATCAATTATCATGTGAGACAGAACAAATTTTTATCCCCTGAAGAAAGCAAGAGCTAAAACATTACTAAGTAAAGGAGCAATAACCTAGTTTGGAATTCAGTGTCAAAAGAGAGTCAAACCTGCAGAGATTACTAAGGTAAAATGTAAATAAAACTAGATTTGGAATGATATATTGAAGTTAGCCATAATCTCTAGAATTCATTCTAAATATTCAAAACCTAGTTATATATTCAACTACTGTCTTCCAGGAAGACAAAACAAAAACAAAGCTTACAAATATTTATGGCTAGAGGATTACACTTCTTTGGTGTTTTGTTTTGTTCCCCCTCCCCCGCCAAATGGAAATCTCCATTTCAATCAACCATCACAATGAATCCATTTGAAAAAGCAAACAGAGCCACAGAATGGCTGAACAAAATGTGGGAATATACATACAATGGGATATTCTCAGTCTTAGAAAGGAAGGAGATTATGACTGTGCTACAATCTGGATGCACCTTGAGGACTTTATGTTGAATAGTGAAACACGCCAGTCACAAAAAGATAAATACCATATGATTCCACTTATATGAGGTATCTAGCCAAATTCAGAGAGACAGAAAGTAGAATGGTGGTTGTCAGGAGCTGGGGGAGGGGAAAGAGAGAGTTAAGGTTTAATGGGAAGAGAGTTTCACTTCTGCAAGATGAAAAAGCTCTGGAGATCTATTTCACAACATGAATATATTTAACGCTACTGAACCATACGCTTAAAAACAGTTAAGATGATAAATTTTATGTTGTGCGTTTTTCACCATAATTTTTTAAAAATTCAAGTACTGATTAAAGAAGAGAAGAAATGTCTCTAAACGTCTTTGTTTCTCAACTTCTCTTACTCACTTTGAAAACTTACCATTGGCGGGATAACAGCAGCTCTGTGCTGAAGCTGTGGCAAGTCCAGTGGATTTGGTTTTATTGGGGATGAGACCAGTATAGATCCAGGGGGGTTCAACAATGAAGGCTTTGAGTCCATAGGAAACATTCTGCAATTGGCAATAAAAAAAGATAAATATATTCTAATTTAAGACTTTAAATGTACAATCATAATTCCTTCTCTTTTTTTTTTTAAGATTTATTTATTTATTTTAGAGAGCGAGAGCGCGCGCAGGGGGAGAGGCGGTGGGGGGCAGGGAAAGTAAATCTCAAGCTGACTCTGTGCTGGGTGCAGGACCCAACATGGGGCTTGATCACACGACCCTGAGATCACTTCCTGAGCCAAAACCAAGAGTCCATCACTTAACCGAATGTGCCACCCAGGCACCCCTAATCGTAATTACTTCTAAGTCAATATGTATGTACACACACACAACACATCAACCTTAGAAGATGTTTGAACAGTAAGGAAAAGGGGAATCTATAATGCTAATTTTCCAAGTAAAGACACCTAATATTGATTTATAGGTTGAAATTTATCTGAGTTTAATCATTTGCATCTAACCATCCAGTCTGAATACATTCCATTCTAAAATATTAGGTCCTAGTCTACCACTAACATAGATTACAAACTAGTTACCTGTTGCAGGATGTTTTGCCAGGATCATAGAGTATTTTTTCACACATCTGCCAACTACCATACTAAAATTGAGAATTTCACCCCCAATTCCAGACTCCTGGTTTCTCATCAAGAGTGGAAAGAAAGAGCCACACAGAAGCAGCAGTACCACGTGGCAACCACATGCTGAACTTGTAGCAGCTGCCCTTTCCAACACACGTGCTGCTCTGTCCTCCACAGCCCCCGCCACCCCACGCTCCTCCTGCTTCACTCAGTTTCAGTATCTACGCTGGAGCTTACAACACCCAGTATGTGAACTGGGGAGATCATAGGTTAGTGCCGTACCTTTCAGGCTGTATCAGACTTCCCAATGTTATTGGGGGCAGATGAACATTTTAAAAGGTACAAATTGATAAGAAAATTAGAATGTATAAAAGAAAACAACACTTAACATGAAACATAAAGATGGTATTAAAGTTGTAGAAAATTGGAAGTGTTCTTTTGACAGTTTGGAACTGATGTAGAGTGTTTAGGCCACCATATATTTACAAGGAGTTTCTGAATTTCAAGACTACTATCATGTTCAGCTCTTAGGATGTTCGTCCTTTAAGATTACTACCATCCTAATTTTTCCTTCACTTATAGTTACCAAAACCAATAGCGGAAAACACAGATAATCCTCATCTTAGATGAACAGAATCTGGCTCTCTGCTGAGTGGCTTATTTGCCTCTTTCTTATTAAAAAATGGGCAGTTGGAGAAAAAGAAAAAAGAGTTGAACTGGGTTTCTGATTAAATGATGTTTTAGTCAAATTCATTTCTAGAATGTGTGCCAATCAAATGTTCTACTGTGATTCTAGGTGATTCTCTTTCAAGGAAAAGGAAATCCCAAGGCAAGTACATATATTAAATAAAACAGTATCTATTCCTGTAATTTTACTGTAATCTTTACCATAATTTTTATGAAAACCATAAAGACAGGATAGATTTTTATATTATTAATTTAATGACTAAAAGTAGTTCTGTATTAATCAGTATTATATATATTTTATATTACAAATATGAATAATCTAAACTTTTAACTGATATACAAAGTGATCATGATAATTACCACTATCTTGTATTTAAATTATGCTTTCTCAAATATTTTCAGAACACTTAACATGTTTTCCTGTCAACCTTTTCTATCATTGAACACACAGGTATGGCACGCCTTACTTTGAGGCCGTATGGTCTTGGAGCAAACAAGCCAATGCCTCTTTGCCTCTGCCTTCCCCACCACACCCTACCGCTTCCAACACCAGGAACGGCAGCCATCCGTGGCTCGTATCACAAGTTTTGTTAGATGAAATCCACTTCTTAGCTACACATAGAACGCATGTAACAACCGGTGTAGAAAAACATTATCATCTTTTTCATTGGAAACTCATGATCACACAACTGTTCTTGGTTACTGAAACAGATGAACAGCATCATAACCCAATATTAAAAGCATGCGGACTACCTCTAAGCTGCCGATATTCGTGCAGGAATAATCCCTGCAGCCAGCACCGTCCTGTGACTCAGTCAGCCTCCAACAGAGCAAAGAACAGGAGAGAGGATCGGAGGAGCGAGTCTCACCTCTGCCTCTCGGGCTCTCCATCCACATCTTCATCCGCACTGCAGGTGGCACTAGAGTCATTGTCCGACTGGGGCTCAGGCCTCTGGGCGCCTATCTGCTGGGCCACCACCATGTCCTCATCTCTAGGCTCTGTCTTCGTGCTGGCTCTCTCCAGGTCTCCTTCTTTGGTATCACCTTCGACTCTGGATGGATTGCTTTCCGGCGCCCCCATCTCAACGTCTACAGAGTCTGATTTGGCAGGCGTGGGGAGGTCAAGAACAGAAGTCACTTCAGCACCGTGCTCCTGCCGTTCGACGTCCATCGGCTCTGCCTCCACCGCAATGCTGTCGTTCACCTGCGTCTCCACACTTTCACTTTCGACTGGTTTTGCACTTTGCACTGCTGAGGAGGGAGACGCACAGGGTACAGGTTCTGTGCTGGGTTCGAGCTCAGCCCCAGGCGCAGCGTTTCCTCGAGAAGTCGCATTGTCAGTGCTACCCTCGCTGGGCTTGACAGCTTCAACTGGTGAAGGAGAAGGAGCACTTTCTGTATCAGAACTATTTTCAGCACCTTAAAGATAATGATACGGCATAAAAATCTGATAATGAACATGTTTCAGGTGGTGACAGAAGCCATGCTTGAAAGTAGTTGTTTGGGACGAATGATACTCCTCAGATGGCCTCGGTGAAGTCTTATGGCCACTGGGAAACTAGAGTGTTTGTTCCCAGAGCATGAAAGGGAGAGGTCAAATGGTCCTCACCTTCTGAAACGGAAAGCGTAAAAGCTTTTACTATCTAAAAATAATTCAGATGAGGGGCGCCCAGCTGGCTCGGTCAGTGGCGTGTGCGACTCATCTCGGGGTCATGTGAGTTCGAGCCCCACACTGGGTGTAGAGAGTAACTGAGCAACTAAGAACTCTTAAAAATATTTTTAAAATAAATAAATAAAAATAAGTAAATAAATAAATAAATAAAATTTACATGAAATTTGAAAAATGAAGACAGATAAAAACCAAAACTAAACAAGAAACCATTCCCATAAATGGTATTTGGTTTATTTCTACCAGCCTGCGGCTGCACTTTTCCTTTGACCCAGGAAGCCTGACAGTCTAGAACAGCACCACCCAATAGGAACATAATATGAGTTACATCTGCTTAAAATTTTAATTTTTCCGGTGGCCACATTAAAAAAGTAAAAAGAGATAAATTAACAACATATTTTATTTCACCCGGTAGGTCTGAAATACTATCTTTTTAACATGTAATCATGTGGAAATATAGTAATATAGAAAACTAGTAATAACATTTTTACCTTTTTTTGGTATTAAGTCTTCAAAATCTGATTACATTTTACATGTTCAGTCCATCTCAATTTGGACTAGCCACATTTCAGGAGCTCAATAGCCACATGTATCTAGTGAGTACCACACACTAGACAGGAAAATTCTAGAGTAACATTACATGGACTTTTAATTTAACACTGTAACCCTGGTCTTTCCCCACATCCCTGGTTTCACCTTATAAATACGGTTTTAATCTCTTGACATCTTTACCTAGATATTTCAAAGGAATCACAAATTCAGTATTTCCTGCACTAGACTAAGTCTGGGGACTCAACACATCCAAATCAGGTACTTTTCTAGTGTTTACTGTCTAATTAAACCAGAAACCTTTTAAGGAGTAATCTTTTAATTCTCCTCTCATTTATCCCCATATCCTACGTAGATTTTCTCTCTAAAAATATCCCTTGAACATCCACTTGTGTTCAATTGCTCGACTGCCCCTGTAGTCCAGAAGCAACTCTTCCTATCTTCCACCTCAGACCAGTCTCAACGACACCAGAGGGAGCTTTTTAAAAGCCGAGTCTTACCAAAACTCTTCCGCTCCAGTATTCTCTTCATTCCTGCCACACGGGCCTCATTTTCCACAAAACCTCACAGAAAAAAAGCTACTTGATGTTGAAAGCCAAAACCCATTCAAAACAAAATTAAAGTTTCAAAGCCAACAACAACTTGCAGAAAAAAATAAAACGAAATCTAATATTTCTGAAACTCCTGGAAGGTATAGAACTTCCTAAGCTTAAAATATGAGCACCTTCAAAGGAACGTACTTAAGCAGCTCTAATTACATACAAAACTTAAGCTCTGGTAATTTAAAAATAAAACAAAAAGTGAATGAGATGGAGAAAATATGTGTATACAAAGCATGAACGTGTGTAAGATATTATATATAAAGAGCTACTAAAATCACTGAAAATTCCCACTTCATAAGCAGTCAATTCACAAAAGAAATCTACAGAAACTTTAACAGTAATGTGATTGAAATAAATTAGGAATTTTTAATTAGCAAAAACTCAAGAAAATATTTACTTCTTCGGAAAGTGGTCATTAATTTGTTCAAGTGACAAAAAGGATTTTATTTCTGTTCTTAAGTTTCTTGGGTTGACATTCTTTTCTACGGGGCTTCTAGCATCATTAATTCTTTTTACATGAAAACATAAGCGTGACATGTGTGAGTCATTGTAAAAACTGATATAAATCAAAGTCATTGCAATAAAGAGAGAAACGTAATCAATGACACTAAGTGGACACATAAAGGTGGCAGTGATATTGATGCACAGACAGCTTACTGATGCCGGACTGCCATTTGATTTGACTTTAAGATTTTATTTATTTGAGAGTGAGCGAGCAGTCGGGGGGTGGGGGAGGGAAGGGCAGAAGGAGAGAGAGAATCTTAAGCAGGCTCCATGCTCAGTGCAGGGCTCGATGTGGCGCTCGATCTCACGACCCCGAGATCATGACCTGAGCCGAAATCAAGAGTGCGCTGCTTAACCGACTGAGCCACCCAGGCGCCCCTGAACTGCCATTTTAAAGATCTTCTGGTTATACCAACTGGACCATCACAGGTGCTACATATATATTTGTTGACTGAATGAATAAATACATTGTGCTCAAGTTTAAGGTCTCTATGAAAACAGTGAATGAACTGTTTCCTTAATGAAGCAATTCTTAAATAAAATGACTAAGCTAGTAATTACATATTTGAACTAGTGGAAGTCACAACTAAATTTAAGATTTTAAGATACCTTCACTGTCTTCTGGATTTTCTTCTTCATTAGAAGCTTCAATATCTTCATCCTCCTGAGCAGAAACAGTGGAAGCTACACTTTCACACTGGGACACGTCTCGCTCTTCACGGGGCTTCCGTGAAGTCTGAAGGAGTAAAAGAGTGTTGAATTAAATTACTTATGATTTAAACAGCTCAAAGAAAACAAAGGAACATTCTCAGATCTGAAATAACACAGAACACTGATACACACATATTTAACAAGAAGGCTGCCTGTCTGACAACTGTTCTGGTGAATATTCGGTTGCCTCTAGGGAACCACTAACTGGCCTTTTGTGTGGATGGAGTGTTCTCATCAAACTGATCAAAAGTTACATTTGGACCATTTTTCAAACCACTTGCCACCATACATGTACAAAGAGCCAAAAATCACAAAACTCCTGCTATTCTTCCTCTCCAAATAATGTATTTTTCTAATAAAAATAACATATGACTTTGTTTTCTATTAAAAATAAGATATTCATTGGACTGTGGAGACACAGAAAATTGTTAAGAAAAAACAGTAATGGCTCATAACTGCAGCAGCTAGAGATTCTAACTATACTGATACAACTCCTTTCAGTCTTTTATACGCGTATACGTATGTTTATGTATAGTACATGTATAGTACATAGGATTGCCCAATGTACCCTTTTTTTAACCTTAATCATGAAATGGACATACCTTTACATTATAAATTCTTCAAAATTACTATATTAATGGTTCCATAAAAACACTCTGTACCAATAGATATTTAAAATTCTATTTTAAGGTATTTAGTCAATTTTAATGTTCTGCACTAATAATGCTGCAATAACCTCCCTTCCCTAACATTAAGAATTATGTGATTTCATAAGCAACAACTGATCACTGGTGTCACCAACCACCACTGGTGTTACTGAATTTCTTTTACTATTAATGAGAACAAATTCCCTTTTCCTTTAACAGGATTTTTCCTTCCGCAAATAATGTGTTTACATAAAACTGCTCATTCTTCTACTGGGATCACACATCTGTAAGAGTGTATGTGCATATATTTAAGTGTCAGACATCAGCTATTTATTATACTTTTAATCTCATGTTGCTAATTATGAAACGTAAGATCTCCTGTCTTTGCAGACCCAAAGATCCCAGCCCTGGCATCTGCTCTGTTCTCCGCCTCTTACCGAGCCTGTACTCAGCAGACTTCAGTTACAGGGCTCCCCCAGGGACACTCCTCACAGAGGAAAATAAATTATTGCTACCCCAACTGTTAATTATGTGTTAGGATACAACCTAAAGCAGTAACTAAGAGGAAAAAAAATCACATCCCAGTGTGTCCATCACAGAACTAGGTGTAATTCTGAGGCTAAAAAAAAAATTCATCACCACGTTCCTCACAGGAATGCAAGGGGAGAATCCTCTGGCCACACTCTTTAAAAAGCTTTAGGAAGACTGCATGAAGGCTGCAATATTTTTAGGAATTAGATAGTAGCTCATATAGGGATTTTTCCAGTGTCGAGGCTGTATCCCTCCTTTGCCAATATCCACCCGTGCTGTTTGGTATTTCCACTGATGAATATACAAAAGACAATGTTTCACCACCACCATGCAGCATTCCTCTGTTCACATGCAATCATCTACTACTTCTCCAAGCATTTTCTTCACTGTATGATAGTACTCACTAATATTTAATGTAATAATTCAAACCTATGGAAATGTAACACCTCTATATCTTGCACTCCGTTTTAACAGATATTAGACATTTTGTCACGTTTTCTTGAAACCTTTTTGAAAATGATAAAACACTCAAAAAGAAAAAACAAAAAAAAACCCCGGAAGTCTGCTGTCCCTAACAAGAAGTTTTAAAGACATTGGTGATGGTTAATTTTATGTGTCATCTTGGCTGGGCCACAGCACACAGACATTTGGTCAAACATTATCCTGGATGTTTCTCTGCAGGTGTTTTTTAGATGAGATTAACAATTCAACCAGTGGACTTCTGAGCAAAGCAGATGACCCTCCGGAATGTGGAGGGGGGAGGGGGGCTTCACCCAACTGATGGCCTTAATAGAACCAGCCAAGACTGATGGCTCCCGGCTCTCCCCCTCCACCCCTCATGCCCCCAGCAAGAAGGGAGTCTGCCAGCAGATCGCCTTTGGACTCCAGCTGCAACTCTTCCCTAAGTCTCCAGCCTGCCATCCTGCACCGTCAGATGCAAGTGTCCACAGTCACAGGAGCCAATTTCTCAAAATAAATCACTCGCTCATATTCTCTCTACACACACACACACACCCCCCGTTGGTTTTGTTTCTCTGGAGAACCCTGACTTATCTTTTAAAAACATGTCTGATTTATTCTTTACTTGATTTTTTTCCCCAAACATTGTAAGTGGTATTTGATGAAGTCAAGTCTCTCTTGTCAGAAGAGCTTTTATTACTTTCTTCCCTTTGTTTTAGTTTCTACAACACATTTTTAACCTTTCTATCTTCATTTTTAACGTTAAAAGGTCTTCTGTATATAACTTTTAAAATCAGTCAATGTTATATTTCATATACTCATATTTACTAAAAGTCCGAACCCTAACAAATTTAAGTATCTACCCTTTTATTACCCATTCTATCATTCTTCAATGAGTCTCAAAATTTTTTGGTCTAAGGATACAGCACTCTTAAAGTATTCCAGACCCTAAGGAGGTTCTATTCATGAGATACATATAATACTTACTATATTTGAATTAAAGCAAAAATATTTAAAATATTAATTCATTTAAAAATAACAATAAACCCATTACATGTCAACATAAAAAACACTTTTAATACAAAGTAACTACATTCCAAAACAAATGGATAATTTAGTAAAAAAGTAGTTTTTTGGGGCACCTGGGTGGCTCCGTCATTAAGAAGTCTGTTTGCAACTCAGTCATGATCCCGGGGTCCTGGGATCGAGCCCCATATCAGGGGAAGCCTGCTTCTCCCTCTCCCCCTCCCCCTGCTTGTGTTCCTACTCTCACTAACTCTCTCTCTCTCAAATAAAGTCTCAAAAAAAATTAAAAATAAAATAAAAAATATTCTGCACATCTTTTATCCATACATGACATCCACTGTGACATCACAAATTGGTCATCTGGAAATTATGGAGTACACAGATTTTTCAAATCTGCATACATTTCACTGTATGTCAAAATATCATATTAGTTATTACTGCCACTGATCTCATCAGAAAAGTCTTTGAGTATTAGGAAGATACTAAGCTTATGGTGAGGAAGACAGTTTCCATTTTTGCTTAAAAGCTCGAAGTTTAAAAGTGGCAACAAATACTTCTGCTTGCTTTCTTTGAAAGACAGTCTCACTCATTTTCAAGAAAATGTCTGCCAAGGATCCAAGTCTGAAAAACCATAGTTTTTCTGTCATTTTTCCAATTAAAAGAAACTCCATAAAAAAGGGAGGCTAGTTCAGCTTGGAACTCAAACAATTGCAAAAGTCCTTTCCCTCGAAAGAACCAGCATACTCTGGTATGGAGCAGAAGGGCTTTATGCACACTTCTCATTTCATCACACACATGGACTCAAGGGTCAAGATTTAATAAAGCTAATTTTTATTGCTTCGCCAAGGACAAGTGAAACTGGCATATTTGTTGTTAAACTGCAAATGCCTGGAGATGAAGAATACACTGAGTATTTAGCACAGTGGTGCCCTGCCATGATTCATGCTAAGGCACCACCATTTTCTCTCACAGCTCCTTGGACACCATCCATGCAAATCTAACGCAGTGGAAAAAAGTAAGTAACATCTTAGTATTTTTACAAAAACAGTTCTGGCCTCATGGAATCCTCAAAGAGCTCTGTAGACTTCGAGAGCATTGGAACTTCCTCGTTAAGGCATTTTCAATAATTTACACTTTCTGATTTTACTATTTATCTCAGGGACTCTCTCTTTCTGAGAAAATGGTTTTAACATGCCATATCGATTCATTCAACAAGGTCAACAGAACTCCAACTAAACTTTTCAATTCAAACTCCAAAATGTTTACATTTTTCAAATCCCATCTATCGTAATTCAAAAGTACTGAACTGCCATTCCTACTGACAGGAATTTTGTTCCTTTGGCAGTCATCAGAGAAAAAGTCAACTTGTGCAGAGAAACTAGCATATCCCTCACGGGTAAATGTAATAAATAAAAATACAGGATACAAAAAACTTTCTCTCAAAGCCAGTATTTGAAGCTCAAAAACAAAACGAAACAAAAAACTATTGGTTAAAAACTAAATCAGTTAAAAATAAATAAATATTCACCACCTCTGATATACTCACTTTCTGTTTATGCTGTTGCAAAAGGTTGTCAAGATTATGTCGCCTTTTATAGTTAAAATAGAAGTTTTTGCACTGTGCTTCACTTTTAGTCCCCACCATTTTGGCAATTGCTGCCCAGTTACGACCATGTTCTACAAGACCTATATTTGAAAAACAGACCAAAGATTAATTGAACAATCACCTGATAAAGCAAACAAGAGAAATAATAAAATCAACTTAATTACAGTCTTCAAAATCATTGACACTAAAAATGTGATTTCAATTATTTATTGATATATTTTAATACATACTTAAATATGTATTGACACGAAATTCAATGAGAGCTCTATCTTGCCACCCAAATTTAAAACACGTCATTAATGGAAGGGCTCAACTTTACCCTTGTTATGTATCTCCCAGAGAGCTAGGACGTCAGACACACAGTAACAACTCAAACACTTATAAACTGAGTGATGAGATACTTCTAAGTCCTTGGAAACAGTGTATCAATATAAAGTTAATAAGGTAATCTTATAAATAATTAACACAAAATAAAGATATACATGACTATATTTATAATCAGCATGTCTTCAATCCATTCACAATCAAGAAATGCCCTCAAAAAAATTAACCAGGGCGCCGGGGTGGCTCAGTTGGTTAAGCGACTGCCTTCGGCTCAGGTCATGATCCTGGAGTCCCGGGATTGAGTCCCGCATCCGGCTCCCTGCTCAGCAGGGAGTCTGCTTCTCCCTCTGACCCTCTTCCCTCTCGTGCTCTCTCTCTCTCATTCTCTCTCTCTCAAATAAATAAATAAATAAAATCTTTAAAAAAAAAATTAACCAGTTTTAAAAACAGCAACAACAACAAACTTGTGGTAATACAATGCATTACAGAAATCTATGCAACCTGACACTTTTTAACCAAATAATGTATGTACATACACATACCTATGTGCAAGGAATATGGGTATATAAATGCACATATACACAGAGAGCTATACAGACAGGGATATACTTAGATACAGGTGTATCCAAGCATGAATTTCCAGTACAAATTTAACAATTTATAGAAAAACATCAGTTTTTCAAGGTTAATGCGAGTAGCTTCCTTAATAATGACAACTGGAAGATCACTTCCAAATCCTTCTGATACATGAACAGAGCTGAGAAGAGTCCTGTGGAGGAGTATCTACCTGAAAAAGATTGCTCTATGATGTAGCTAATATCTACTTACTCCACTGACATTCTGATAACAGATGAGAATAAATTAGTCAATCTTTTTTTTTAAAAATGTGAATC